CTGAGACTGGGGCGAGCAGGGAAAGGGGCTGGTTCAGATGCCGACCGGAAAGAGGTGGCGGTCCTCGTCAAGATCCGAGCCGCGAGTTTGGGGCGGGCCGGAGGGCCAAGACACGAATTCGGGAGAACATGGAAGCTTGAAGAGGCTGGAGTAGTCATCCCATGGGCCTTGCGGACCTCCAACAACCAAGGATTTGTGTTGTTGGTTGTTGTAGGATGCAAATTGCATGGCGATTCTCACTCCCGTCCCAAATATAGAAGCCGGAGCCCGGCTCACACAGGTCAGCCTCAGCTTTGGGGGGAGCCTGGGGAGGACCCAACCCCTGGTTTAAAGGGTCCATGGGCCGCAGGCAGCGGCAAATGCTTGCACCGAGCGAGTACAGTCACGGCAGTTGTTCGTTTGTCAGACACAAGAAGGGTGAAGAAGACGAAAGAGGGAAAAAAAAAGAAGAAGAGGGAGAGGGAAGGAGGAGGGGAACAAGCGCAAGGCCAGCACGGCCAGCCGAGTCATCTCCGAGGATTGGCGGCCGGGACCTGGGGTGAGCTGGCCGAGGAAGAGAGACAACCATGCCCGATATAGACATGCGGGAAGCAAAAGAGCCAATCACATGTTGTCTTTCCCCAGGTCCCCAGGTCAGGGATTGCGGACAATAAGCTTATGAGCTTATTCGTGCGCATCCCGCTTTTTGTTTGTCTTCCACGGGTCGACCCATTACCAACGACGCCCGAACGTCCGTCTCATTGAACCCCACCAGGCGCGTTTGCTGCTGTGGCCGCCGGCCGGGCGATGGCCACCAAATCCTGCTCCCCGTCAATTTTGTCCTCTCTTTGCTTCACTGCCTGCTCACGCCACCATCGCGCTGTGGAGGCGCACGCAGAACTTGAGTCGATGCCAAGAACTGAGAGCTGTGGCGTCGACAGAGTGATTATGCCGTTAGTTTGTCATCCCTGAGACCTGCCAGATCGTCATCTTAGAATGAAGGTTTTTTTCTGGCGGGGTTCTACTCCTTCGCGCCGTGGTAGCTAGCCTGCAATCATTGCTTAAGCCAAGTGCCCCTCGGCGTTTTTTTGTGGATAAACGGCCAGTGTACAGTTGTTGGGAAGAGGAAACAAGATGTTGGATAGTATATGATCGGGACCGTCGCGCCTCTCTGCATATCGCTTTTTGACCAGTAATTGTCGAACATCTCTAGGCCCAAGATCCCCAGTCTTTTTTAGGATTTAAGGAAGTCCTTCCTCCTTCTTTTGTAGCACTTTGTCGTGTTTCACTCCCAAATGAAAGGGTCCGTCTTTACCTATATGGTGGCTCTCGCAGCCACTGCGATAGCTTTGCGGACGACTTCCGCCCCCAAGATGCGCAGGGAACTTGATGGCCTAACCTTTGGTGGTCTTGAGCCCCGGGCTCACTCTGGAGACCAAGTCAACCAGGGCACATTTGACCAGTTTCTCGACCACACGAATACTTCCAAAGGCACTTTCAAGCAACGGTACTGGTGGAATGCGGAGCACTGGGGAGGCCCGGGTTTCCCTGTCTTCATGGTGAACGGAGGCGAGACAAACGCCGGCAGGTTGACAGGTTATCTGGAGAACGGGACGCTGGCGAGTCTCTATGCCGAGACGCACAAGGGCGCAATTATCCTGATCGAACGTGAGCCAACCCCGGCAACAACGACCTGTCTTGAAGAGTTATCTCAAAACTGATCTTGATAGACCGATACTATGGCGAATCCTGGCCTTTCAAGACTTCGACAGCGGACACGCTGCAGTACCTGGATGTGCCGCAGGCCATCTACGACAACATTCACTTCGCCCAGACTGCTAATCTTCCATTCGACACGAACAAGGGCGCCAACGCGAACAAATCACCCTGGGTATTGGTTGGGGGCAGCTACGCCGGTGCGCTCGCTGCGTGGACATCGGTGGTCGCGCCTGGTACATTTGCCGCCTACCATGCCAGCTCCGCCGTCGTCCAGGCCATTGAAGACTTTTGGCAATTCTTCACTCCCATCGAGCAGGCCCTGCCGCAGAACTGCTCGACTGATATCAAGCTGGTCATCCAGCAGGTCGATCGCGTGCTCGAAAACGGCACCGCACAGGAGGTCGACGCCATGAAGCAGAAGTTCGGCCTAGACACGCTCGGGGACCATGCCGACTTCGCGTGGTACCTGCAAAAGCCCATCATCATGTGGGCCTACGACCCGAACAAGGTTTTGGAGTTCTGCGACTGGATCGAGACGAGCACCAACGACGGCGACATCATCGAGGGCCGCGAGGAGTCCGGCGTCGGCCTGGAGGCTGCGTGGACCGGCTACACGTCGTGGATGCATCAGAGGTACAACGAGAAGTGTCGGGAGGAGGAGTCTTGCAACCTATACAACAACGCAGTCGAATACAACACGCCCGATGACCTAGAATGGTCGCGCAGCTGGGTCTGGCAGCTCTGTAACGAGCCCCTGGGTTGGTGGCACACGGGACCACCGTCGTCCAACGGCACCGGGCTTGTGTCGTCGTACGTGCATCTCGAACACCGTAAGCGCCAGTGCGACCTACGCTTCCCGCAGACCTCTGGCCACAAGCCGGCCATCTCGAAGGGGATCACAGTGGCCATGTTCAATGAGTGGACCGGGGGATGGAACGCCTCCTACGAGAACGTCCTCTTTATTGACGGCGAGTTCGACCCTTGGAAGTCGGCGACCATGAGCTCGGACTACCGTCCCGGCGGCCCATCTGAGAGTACCGAGAAGGCCCCCCGGCTGGTGGTGGAGGGGGCAACTCACGTTCCGGACTTCCGGCTCAGCAAGCTGAATGCCAAGGTTGTCCAGCAGGAGGTGGAGATCATGGGTAAGTGGATCGAGGCATGGAAGCCGAAGGAGGCGCTATGAGCAGGTTGATACGGGCACAAAGCAAGCAGTTTGATTGATACATATGCATCGCGCGGCGTCAAGGCTGGGGCTTGGTTACTGTGGTTGCATTGCGATCTGGGACGGCACGACGTGGTGCATTCTCAAGATGATACCTGTACATGTGAGATGAGACAGCATAAGGCCCAGATAACAGAACATACCATCCGTCTGTAATTCCTGGTTGATATTGGACTTATCTTTCATGTTGTTTCGAAGCTGGGTGGGCGTAAAATCAGTGGTTGGAAAGACACCAACGCCTGTTTTGTTGAAAAGGATACGAACCCGCACCATTACAGATTTCATAATGATTGATGTTATTCGGAGAGAAAGGCATCTTCGAAACTCAAGAGTGGTCTGAATGGTTTCAGTCGTAGTTCATGCAAGTGAGGCGTGGGTATTAGGTATTGCCCGCCGAGCAGGTGCGAAAACAACGGCGGTTGCCTACAATAAGTACCGTACCTGCCCATACCTACCTTCTTCTTCCCCTCGTCGGATTCTACAAATGGCGAGGCTCTCTCGGGCAGGCACCCCCGAACAAAATCGAACGATCGTGCATTCGGTTCTTTCCTTCTTGGAGGCCCCCAAGAGATCTGGCAGCTTCTAGGTTTGACAGTGCACTTTCCCGTCTCCAAATGCCTCTCTTCGACCCGGATGCAAAACGACCGAAACTGTCAAATTTTGCAACTTGCCGCTTGTCACCAATTTCGATAGGGTAGGCCATTTCAATAATGGCTTCATAATCAACAGTAGCTGTAAACTTTCTGTGACGAGTACGCCGCGCCGGGACAGCGAGGAACAAGAGCGGTAACGGTAGCCGATGAACGCAACAACAACGAGATTCCCGATCACGGCTGTTGGCGGACGCGGACGACTTCTTATCTACGGTCGGCCTCCTCGATCCCGACAAGCATGAGCGCTCGATTGGCCCCAGCGCCCGCTTTGAACCACCCCAGCTGTTGTCGAACCGGGCAGAATGATCGTCCCAGACGGCGACTGATAAGCTTATCAACTTGACAAGATCACACTCTGAGGACGGAAGCACCCCTAGTGTCACGGGAACTTACCCGTATGTGGCCTTATGCAAGGAACAAGTGATAGAACCAGTCCGCCCCAGCGTTAGATTGCCGAGCAGCGTTAATCTGGCTGTCACCCGAAGATTGCTGTCGATACTTGCCAACCTACTCACCTTGCCCTGACCGAGCTTCACCGTCCCCGACGAACCCCACCACATTGGAGACCACGAGCCATGCCGAGGCACGCCAGTAGCCAATTGTCGGACCGGCTACGTCGGCCTCCGAATCGCACAAGACCAGGCTCCCCCCCCCGCAAAAACGAGCTCAGGAAGAATCGAGCATCACGCTGCCATTCAAGAACTTGGCAACAGCCTGCATTCGTCGGAAACCATGGGTGGACGGACACACATCAGATCCTCCGTGGGCTGTTTCGACGTAGAAGTCTACAAGGCCCGGTGAACAAAATTGGCTCGCCGCACGGCAGCATTAGCAGCCGTAGCAGTACCATGGCCGACGCAAATAATTCTCCGCATCCCAGTAGGCTATGGGTGCCGTGCCATGCATAAATCGCGCTTTTTGCTGGTCGACCTGCCCATTCTCGACGCATTGGCTTCGACCTTGCAGCATGGCATTGCCATAATCCGCACTTTGCGTCGGATTGTGGTAACTCAATTGGATCGGTGCCTGGCCTACCCCGCCCTCGAACTCATCATCGAGAGCCGAAGGTAAAACCGCTTTTGCTCTGATGTCCCGGCAGAAGTGGAGATGACGTCGACATACTCTCACTCACGCGCACCATGACCCGTCGTGTGTCGGAAGGATCGGTCATCAGGGTGGGCTGAGGTTCATACAGGCGCGTCGTCGTGGAAATGTCGGGAACTTCTTACCCCCCTCCCTGTTGCCTGGTATCCCCGCAAGCCCCAGGAAGGTCTGCAGCCAAGAAGAGCCGGGGTGGCAGCCATTACACCAATCCGGAAGCCCTAACCAGTAGGCAACTTGCTCCTGGATCTTCGGGATAGGAAACAGTGATTCCAAACAGCCTCAAGACAGGGGAGGACACGACATGCATGCTGGCCTTTCAGTCTTGCGTCCTTTTGCTCCTCATAGCAGGGAGAGTTCTACATTCTCGCCTCGATTGAGTTCTCGACATAATGGGTACCTCTTCATCTCGACAGGATTCGGAGATGTTTACACAACCAAATACATCTTCCAACCTTCCCCCCTTGTTACTCTTACTCCCACGGCTTGCAGTGACCCCGCATTTTTCGACTGATTTTTAATCAGTCCATGGAATCAATCTTTGATCAGCCAACGAAACAAATGTATTCTACCCAACACATTAAACGGCCGCTTCCAACATTCCAGGAACAACAGCCAGGTCGAACTCGGCAATCCGCGTCAAGCTCCAACAATATTAGCGTGCCCCCCCCCCTTCCAGTGGGGCGTGGGATACGCCTCAGATGACGTCCGCTGATTTGCTCCGACGCAAACCTCTCCCACTCTGCGTCAAGGATGGAGCTGCCACACTCCTCTTCTGTCTGCACGTTGTGACAAAAGGAATGGACAGACTGGTACAAGGACCACAGATCCGGGCTACCTGTAGTGTACTTTCAGCGTCAGCTGACAAATAGTGGCCGCACCACCTGAGCTGACCACAGACGCCGGTATCCTTCTTGTACACGTACCCTCTGTCTACCATCATCCCCAACGTGCATCTCAGCTCCATCAAGTCGCTGCACTGTACATGTAGACAACAGCGGCAAACTATGGCCCGCCGTGTCACCAATTGTACGTCTGACAATCCACATGGTAAGTCCCTGGCCTGCCCTATTGCTGGTATTGCGGCGCCAACGTGTATCGCGGCATGCTTGCCGGCTTCTCCGCCGGCCTGGGAAACCCGGGTAACTTTGTCGTGGTGGCTATAAGCTGTAAGTACCCGTCCGTTCTTGTCGCCCCGGGCACAGGTTGTTTTGCACATGTTACTTCAAGTATTCTCCATATAACTTGGACCTTTGTTCCGCACTCTTGTACCCGATCGGTATACGGACCCCAAGCGTTTTACCGTTAACGAATCCCAAACAACTTGCACAATGGGTTCTATTGCTGTCTCTCAGGATAGCCCCCCTTACGATGTCCCCAAGGCAGCCAAGCAACAGGCAGCGCAGCCACCCGCTTACAACGGCCTCGACATCATCGACATTCAGCGTGTTGCGGTTGAAACAAACTTGAAGGACGACATCATTTCCATGTGGAACCCCACAAACGGACCCCGGAAGCTGCCTACCCTACTTCTTTACAACGAACGGGGCCTGCAGTTGTTCGAAGAGGTGGGTGCTTCCAGAAATCTCATCAACTCAGCCGCATCTTGCGTGATCCGCATGTGCTCACACCCTTGTTCAGATCACTTATCTGGACGAATACTACCTGACCAACAACGAGATCGAGGTTCTCGAGAAATATTCGAACGAGATTGCGCAGAATATTTCACCGGATTCCATGGTCATTGAATTGGGGAGTGGGTTTGTGAATCCCTGCTGAATGAGGACTGGCCTGGGATGATTCTGACCTTTTTCGAAGCAACCTTCGCAAAGTCTGTTTGTTACTGCAAGCCTTCGAAAATGCCGGCAAGAACGTCGACTATTACGCACTTGATCTTTCCAGAGAGGAACTGGAGCGCACACTGGCCCAAGTGCCCAAGTTTCGTCACGTCAGATGCCACGGACTGCTTGGTACCTACGACGATGGCCGAGAATGGCTGAAAAAGCCCGTCAATCTAGCTCGCACCAAGTGTATTTTGAGCTTGGGATCTAGCATCGGTTTGTGATATTTTCAGCGAGGGCTTTTTTCACGAAAAAAAAAAAAAAATAGATTCCTGACGCCTTGTCTAGGAAACTTCGAGCGCGACGATGCAGCCGGCTTCCTCAAATACTTCAGCGATGTCCTCACGCCATCGGACAAATTGCTGATTGGGCTGGATGGTTGCTGCGACCCATCCAAGGTCTAGTAAGTGTTCATCTATCACACCCTGTAGTAGTGGCCCGGGCTAACTTTGTCTTTAGCCATGCTTACAACGGTACTTTGTCTAACTCATGAAGCTAGATGGTTCGGTTTAGCTAACTTGCATAATAACAGACAAGAAAGGAGTGACCCATGCGTAAGAACTGCTGTTTTGTAGCTCCAGTTCATTCAGTTAACATCCAGACAGTTTTATTCTGAACGGCCTCGCCAATGCCAATGAGATTCTTGGCGAGCAGGCGTTCAACCTTAGCGACTGGGAGGTTATCGGCGAGTACGTGTACGACGAGGAGGGTGGGCGTCATCAGGCGTTCTACTCGCCTGTTCGAGATACATACGTTATGGGCGCTCTGGTGAAGCAGCACGAACGCATCCAAGTGGAGCAGAGCCTGAAATATTCTCAACTGGGAGCCGAAAACCTGTGGAACATGGCTGGCCTTGTCGAGACAAACTGCTGGGCCAAGGGCAACGAGCACGGTAAGTGGACGATTTCACTTCGGGAAACTAGAGCCGAGAATGGCCACCCCTTTCGCGACACGTTCTGCACCCCATAAGCTTCCCCCACGTTTGGCTGCCGACGTGGAGCCACTTACCCCAAAAGTTGAAGTACATTGTCCGAGACGTAAGATAACAGACGCGGTGACTTGCCCCGATGACATCGCACAGCCGGCTTATGAATCCTCTGTCTCTGGAAACTACTATCATCACCAACGCCTCCTCCCACATACACTGGCCTAAAAAAGCTAACGTTGATACAGGACTTCACCTGATCGCGAAGAGAAGGATGCCTTTCAGCCTCCTCCCCGACCTGTATGCCTCGTCGCCGTGTCCGACTTTGGACGATTGGTCGGCGCTGTGGACGGCATGGGATGCTGTCACGCAGAAGATGCTCCCTAAAGAAGAATTGCTGGACAAGCCAATCAAGCTCCGCAATGCTTGCATCTTCTATCTTGGCCACATCCCGGGCTTCCTAGATATCCAACTGACCAAGACAACCAAGACACCCCCAACCGAGCCGGCAGGCTTCCAGCCCATGTTCGAGAGAGGCATCGATCCCGACGTCGACAACCCCGAGAAATGCCACTCTCACTCGGAGATTCCTGACGAGTGGCCTCCTGTGGAACAGATTCTCGAGTACCAGAAGCGTGTACGCTCGAGGCTGCAGGACCAGTACAGGAACGGAGTCCACGAAATCCCCAGAGCCGTCGCTCAAGGTATCTGGGTGGGCTTTGAGCATGAGGTTATGCACATTGAGACGTTGCTCTACATGATGCTCCAGAGCAACAAGACTATCCCGCCGCCTGATGTCCATCAACCGGATTTCCGGCGTCTGGCTGACAAAGCCCGTCAGGCGCGAGTACCTAACGAATGGCACGATGTGCCCGCTCAGTCCATTGCTCTGGGAATGGACGAGCCCGATCTCAACGCCGGTATCAACGGGTACTTTGGATGGTTGGTGCATCTACCCTTGGTCGCGAAGATATACTAACAAGGGTCCAGGGATAATGAGAGGCCATCGAGAAAGGTGGAGGTTCATGCATTCCAAGCCAAGGGTCGGCCCATCACCAACGAGGAGGTAAGCACTAATTCCGCCTAACGAGCAAAGTCGGGAGCTTACCAGAACAGTATGCACAATACATGTTTGAGAACCACATCAAGAAGGTGCCTGCCTCGTGGGCTCCTACAGAATCCAACACCGAGGATGTTGACGCCAATGGCCAGGTGTTTTTGACCAACGGATACACAGATGGACACACCAATAGCCACGTCAATGGACATACAAACGGTGCCAGCAATGGATATACGAATGGTCATCAAAACAAACAGACTGCCCTTCCTGGATACTTCCTCGACGGCATTTCTGTTCGCACCGTTCACGGACTGGTGCCGCTGAAGTTCGCACTAGACTGGCCCATCTTCGCCTCGTACGATGAGCTCTCTGGCTGTGCTGCGTGGATGGGCGGTCGAATTCCGACATTTGAAGAGGCCCGGAGCATTTACAACTACGTTCACAACTCGAAGAGGATGGAGGCTGAACGCACGCTTGGAAGAACGGTTCCAGCAGTCAATGGGTAAGTATCGCACTAGCCGAACACGCAGCTGGCATCTATTGACGCGATGTAGGCACCTATCAAATGATGGAGTCGAGGAGACGCCACCGAAAACTGGCTCTCTTGAGGCCGAGAAGGCTCGTTCGGAGCTCTTCGTCGACCTCGACGGCGCTAATGTTGGATTCCAGCATTGGCACCCCGTCCCCGTGACGGCCAACGGCGGCCGTCTCGCGGGCCAAGGTGAGCTTGGCGGTGTCTGGGAATGGACCAGCTCGCCCCTCGCTCGGCATGAGGGCTTCGAGCCGATGCCTCTGTACCCTCAGTACACATGTATAGTGTTTTCAAAACTATCGTTTTCTTGTTGCCTGTTCGCTAACTTGTCTACAGCTGACTTCTTCGACGGCAAACATAACATCGTCCTCGGAGGATCCTGGGCGACGCACCCGCGCATCGCCGGACGACGATCGTTGTAAGTCAACTCTCGCCATTTGCCAAATATAGCTTGGGTGACGGCTGCTAACGAAGACTAGTGTCAACTGGTACCAACACAATTACCCCTTTGCCTGGTGCGGAGCCAGACTCGTGAGGGACATCAACTAAAGCGATCGCGCATACACATCTCCAATCATGCTATGACTCTCGACTGCTGTACTTTCTATTGAATTTGAATCTCTTTCTAGCTGCTTCGTTTCGCCGTGACTAGTGCTTCAACAGCTGGTTCTGGCCCGGGGATGACTCAACTTCATTCGCCGAGTGTTGCGTTTTTGAGAGAAAAGCATGTGATTTAGGTTGTTGGAAGCTCTTCCTAGTTTCCATGTCAAGATGGGCTCTGAAGGGGAACAAGGATTTGGTGTCTACGATCATAGTTGTAGTGTATTAAGCTTTATATTTTCCGGTCCATCGTGTCCAGCCTTCACTCGTTTCCCTGTCCAACAACTGGTAGGGTCTGTAATGTGTCGCTGCCTTCCGCCAGCAACACTGGTTTCTGTCGGGGATACATATACATCAAACAAGACTCATGCTCGCTCCGGGACCAAAATGCCTCAACTTTGACGCTTCACTTGCTGATGTGTTAAGAAGGGTTACCATCAGTAAACTACCAGGAAACCTTCTCCGCACACCCGAATGAGGCCCTCTTTCCCCACCTGCTGGCTCCCTCCCCTGCGAAACCGCGTACGAGTTAATTATCGTACCCAATGTAATATATACGACAGTGTAACCGTGCCTGCAGCACGAGTGCGGTAACACATGATGATGATGACGAGAACATACCCCTGCCGCCGTGTACGGTAAGCCGCCCTGCTGCGCAGGCTCGTACATAATATTGCATGTATTACTCCACCAGGAGGAGGGAGGGGCGGGAGGGAAAAAGAAGAAAGTGACAACAACTCGCTGATACACCCCCCACGGTCTTTTCGACGTCTTGACGTCACCAGCCCATCTAAGAACGGACGAGGCGGATGGATGATTTACGTTGCGCATTACGCTCGGTAAGGCCCCTGCTAAGAGGAGAAGAGGTGATTTGCTCAGTACTGGATTCAACTGTGCAGCGTCGCCAACGAATGCATCATTGGGACATTTGCCGACTGCCAGGGCATCTCTACCTAAACCACCTACACTACCTACATGCCACTGGAACTGGTCTCCAAGTACGGATACCTGACTGGTACCTTGTCTACGACCAATACAACCTCTTGCCGCCTGTCTGAATCTCGCCCTGTTCGTGGCCAAGAGTGACGCCCCACTGATTGCCGGGTCTGGGCTCCGGAGACGTTGGCCGCCCCACAGTTCACGAAAGGGGGGGGAAAAAAGCTGGTTTTACGTCCCCGCACCGCAGTACGGCCAGGTTCGCTCCGAGCCGGGATTTCGTCACATCCACTGAAAGGCCTTTGGACGAACCCAGTTGCTTTCAATCCCCCTGCTTCAATAAATCCACGTCTGCAAGACTTGGATCTTGTGACCTTCCAAGTCGATCGCGATATTGTCATTCAATTGGTTCAGCCGTTCAGACTACCGTAGATGTCGAGGAGCTGCTCGAACACGTAGCTGGGTAGTTTGACGCCGTTCTCTGTCACGAGGTTGGAGACAAAGTCGGGGGGCTATCGGACACTCTATTAGCCCATGCATACATGCACATAATTACCACTCGCGCAAGACTTACAGTGTAATCTACGGCATCCTCGGGCTGTACACTCGCACCGTCTGTCCGGAAGTCCAACACGTGCTGCTTGAACCCGAGATCCCGCTGGTCAAGAGGGACCTTGCGCACGAACTTGTGCGACTCGGCGGCGACGTAGAAGGGCAGTCCGGCCTGCTTCGCTAGCTTGGCGATCTGGTAGGTGCCCATGCGCGAGATGATGCCGCCGTTTTGCGTGACTGCCTCGGCGCCGACAATGACCATGTGGACCTGACGCAACAGGCCCAGAACGTGCGCGACGGCTGGCTCGGCGATCTCAGCAACGGGAATGCCCTTCTCGCGGAGCTCCCGTACTACGCGATCCGACTCGGCCGGGCGGTGCTCGTCGCGGACGTAGACAACCTTGAAACGAACGCCGCCGTCGCCGAACTGGTCGGCCGCGCGGAACAGGAGAGTAGAGACGGCGCGGGAGGCACCGTGAGTCAGGACGACCTTGCCGTCCCGCACAAAGCGCCAACCGGCGTCGGCGATGCGGTCGCGTGCGGCGATGGCGCGGGAGGCGAAGAGGCGGCCGTTGCGGAGGAGGTGGGTGCGAACGGCGTCGAAAGACTGGTGCGGGCTCGTGGCGGCGGATTGGCCCTCCTGCTGCTTAAGCGAGGAGACGAGGTACTGCAGGAACAGGTCGGTGCCGGCCTGGAGGGGTACGGGATTGTTGACGGAGGCGTGGAGGGTGTTTGAGGCGCGCTTGACGAGATCGAGGGTTTCGTATACGGTCGTGGTACCCGAGGCGTTGAGGAGGGATATGAGGGCCTCAATAGCGGCGACGGGTTTCGTCAGGTCGGGATCCTGGAGGAGGGAGTGATATGTTGAGACGATGCTGAACAGAGACGAGGTTAGTTGGAGTGATAGTTCAGGGTTGCGGGTGGTGTACTCGAAGTCACCGGTCGTCTTGTTGCGGATGGGCATGTCGGAAGCCTGAGGCTTTTGACTGTCGCCTGTTGCTGTAGAGCCATGCTGTCAGTCCGCATTCGCGTACATATCGACTATGATGTGGAATGGTGGAGCAGCGTACGCGTGAGGTCACCGGTAGCCATGGCTATGTGTGGGAGGGACGAAAGTCAGGGTTCTAAAGACAGGCAAGCCCCTTTGTATCGTTGCACCTTCTATGTTGGTCTTGAATAAATCTTGCTGAAAATATGCCAGAATTCGGCAGATGAGAAGCGTCGGAACGAGTTCTGGGTCTCGAGACCGAAGATGCGATCAGGACGTTGGCTGTCGCGATGGAGGGGAACGTCTGGTGTTGAAGCTCCAGGAAATTTTGGGAGGCGCCTGTGACTCAATTCCCACACTAACTAACTACCACCCACCACCGGATGGAGCCTGCCGGGCATTAGCATTGATCGCTCTGATTTGGCGGGGTAGTCTTGCTAATCTAATCAGGGTGGAAGAAACCATCCCAGATATGGGGCTACATATCAAAACATGCCACCTTGCCCTGTTAGCCAAGTATCGGTCTATCTGTCTGTCCCTTACCTTGCCCCCTCCACGAAATAGCGGTCTCATTCACTCGTATCGCCCTGTATCATTATCCAGGCATCCCACTACCGACGGCCCCCTCCACTCCCGAAACACTGACACCCAGCTAATAAAGCTCCCTCCTTGTAAGCCTTCATGCCCCGCCCCTGACCAGAAAGCAAGCAATTCACTCAATTCCTCCGTTCGTCATGAAGATTCCTCTACCTTTACACAATCGACAACATTGTCGAAGCTCTCCATTACCCCCTCCCGTACCAACCTGAAACCGCAAAAACGAGAAACATCACAAACCACATTCACAATGGAGCAAATCGACCCTGCAACCGGCGCTCCCCTCCCCGCCGATGCGATCCAGCGCATCCTCTTCATCGCCTCGGGAGCCCATGTCTACAACATCCCGCCCATGACCTCGAACAAGGGCTACACCGCCGCCGGCTGGACCGAACGCCAAATCTTCACCGCCCGCCTCCGCGTCCTCGAGACCGCCTGGGAGACCGCCGCCGCCGCCACACCGACCCCCGTCGGCGTCGGCAGTGCAGTGATTCCCGTCGCACCGGGCGCCCCCGCCGGCATCACGAACAAGGAGAACCATATCAAGGTCGACATCGTTCTCGAGGACCCCTCCAACGGTCAGCTCTTCGCCGCCGCCCCCTACACCTCCATCTCCGTCGTCGAGCCCGTCCTCGACTCGTCGCGCTTCTTTGCCGTGCGTGTCATGGACGGTCAGGGCCGTAAGGCTGTGCTGGGCGTCGGCTTCGAGGAGCGCAGCGAGGCCTTTGACTTTGGCGTCGCGCTGCAGGAGGCGCAGAAGAGCTTGGGCCTGCTGGACGCGAGCCACGCCAAACAGGCGGCTGAGAACAGCAAGCGCGCCGAGGAGGAGAAGAACAAGGACTACAGCCTGAAGGAGGGCGAGACTATCACCATCAACTTTGGCGGCTCCAAGATTGGCCGCCGGTCGAGGCCCGAGACCAACGCCAACGGCACCGCGGCAGCGTCGGGCGCGGGCCTACAGGCCTTCTCGCTGCCGCCGCCCCCGAGCGCGCCCAAGGGTGGCAACAGCTTCCTGCCGCCGCCGCCGACTGCCTCCAATGTTCGCGAGCAGAAGCGGGAGAAGAGGAGATCGGCGCAGGACCTGGGGTTTGACGATGGTCAGTTCGGCGAGTTCGCGTAGGGTCCCCTCGCGAGCAGAGGACTTGCGGATGCGGCGGGAGGATGGTTCCCGTCACTCAACTCAGGGAGCAATGCAAGGAGTTCAACGGTCATTTATTCCATGATTTATTCCATGACTAATAGTAAAAGATTCCCTACACCGTTTGCTGCGATTGCCCTACGCGAGCCTACCAATTGCACATGTAATAAAAGACCAAAAGAGCGACGGGTCATACGCGTCTAATGTCGTCTCCGTAATACCCCCCATCGTCCTATTGGAACCAGAGGAGTCCACTGGCGTGCTACTGCAGCCCACGAGACTCCTCAGACCCGGGCCAAAGACATTTCAACACGGGAAGACTCATTCTTCTGTTGAGACTTCGGAGACTGTCGTCCCTGCTGGGAGATCGATTTCGCTCTTCATCTACAATACGGGCCAATGCCTGATCTTCGTACTCAAACCGCAAGCCATGGTTTCCCAGTTCGTCTGCGCGAATGTCGAAAACATCGCTGCCGTCTGGCCAAAAATCAACCTGCACCCCATCTGGCGGAGCGTGCATTTTGGACTCGGACTGTGATGGTACGGCCTGATGGTAGCTCGTCGGGAAGAACGCGGGGGAGGCAGCGTCCAAGGGTGTCGGGATCATGGACGTTACATTGGAAGGCGTCGTGACTTCCGTGGGCCACCAGCAGGAGCACCGTCGCTCGTAGAGTTCGCTCTGGATCTGCATCTACGCTTCACGGCTCTGGAGCTCCACGTAAATATCACAGAGTCTTAGAAGAATCGTCTTCTTTTGTCCCGCGACCTCCGTGATTCTGCTCCTCAGCAAAGCGGCCCTCTTCCTCGACTTACGCCGCTCGTCGGAAGACAGCCTGTGATCAAACATCTCCCGAAGCATAGATAACTTCCTCATAAGACCCGCTTCTCGGTCGCTTTGGTTCTCAAGTGACACCGTCAGATATGCTTTCTCGGTGTAGAGCTGCTCCAAGGAGTTTGGCAATGTGAATGCCGGCCACCCATACTTTTGCTTCATGTCGGCGTCCATACCGCCCCTTGGACTCATACGCCCTATTCTCAACGAGGGCCGAAGAGGCGATGGCAGTGCTTCAGGGTAGAGAACGTCTGATCCTTGGCGACGAGGTTCGAACGGTGGCTGGTTTCGTGACGAATCATTGGAAAAGGTGACCACCGTATCGAGCGTATTGACTATCGAAGGAACGAAAGCCGGGGCTTCAACATAGCGATCCATGGTGAAGAGTGAGAGGAAATGCAGAGACCGTTGTCGGAAAAGTTGGCCACTATATCTTTATCTGTTTGAATTTAATTAAAGCTTCTCAGTCCTCAGAACATGTCACAACAGCGTATCCTCAGAGCTCATCTCTTTGTTTCCACTCTACCAGGCTCGAATGCGTTAAGACGCCTATCAGATGTTTATGTACTTACACCTGACTTGGCAGGACCAAGTTTTGTCCGAGTTTACCATGGTATGTCGGAGAAAAAGATAATTACGTCCTGCAGGAAGCAAAGAAGCCAGCATGACAGTCAGAGTTCGGATATGATCGGTGCCTCGACGACAATACTAGGATTCCTACTGAAAGGAACCGGCAAGCGAGGCATCGGCAGCATCAAAGCCCATGTGTTGGTTATGATAGACTGGTATAGCCAGCCAGCTGCAAAGCCCCGCTGAAACGCATTGGTGGATTTAGACAGCAGTCCGAGGGAAGGTGCGATAGTAGAACATGATAACAAGGTTGAAAAACCTAGTGGTACGACTATCAATCCTTCTCGTACCTAGAATCGTTGAACACTTTGGTTGTGTCCGAACAACCCCCTGCCTAAGTGGCGCAGAAGTCCGGTGCATTTACAGATGGCCTAGCCTTTCAAGATCGTTCCATTAATTTGGCAAGCCACTCTCGTCACAGGTACAGGGGCACACGGCGAAGTCTTGAAGGCGATGCAAGGGCCACGCCCTCAAATATTGAAGCCGTCGTGTCGGGGAGGGTCGCAAAAGCGCCATAGACCAACTGCCTCTGCGGCCCTGCGCACCGACAAAACCTCGTCACCTGACACAGCTCGGTTGATCTCGTTGTACCGCACCTCATTATCATGATGTTCGGTGCCGTCCTTTGTGCGTTTCCTGGCCTTGCCAACGTGAGCATCCGGGCGATACTGCTCCATGATGTTGACGAAGCAGTCCTTGGAGACTTCCTCGGCCAGGAACTGCATGATCCGCCGCCCTTCTGCTTCTTTTCCCGGCATCACCAGATGTCGTACTAGGAGACCTTTTTTGGCTATGCCGTCTCCGGTAAAGCATAAATCTCCGACTTGTCTTTGCATCGCTTTAATGCTCTCGCGTGCTGTGGCTGCATAGTCGTCCGCCTTCAGTAAGCGCTTGGATGTGGCCGCCTCCCAGACCTTGAAATCGGGGAGGTAGATGTCGACCAAGCCATCCAGTAGTTCCAAAGAAGCCAACGAATCAAAACTGGAGGTATTGTAGATGATTGGAACCTTGAGACCCAGTTCCTTCGCGTGAAGAATACTAAGCACAACCTGGGGAACCACGTGCTCCGGGGTGATCAGGTTGATGTTATGGACGCGGCCAACTTGCTGCAGCTTGATGTACCATTCGCCCAACTCCTCGGGCGTCAGATCCTGGCCGTTACGTTGGTGGGCGATGTCATGGTTTTGGCAGAAGACACAACGGAGGTTGCAACCCGAGAAGAATACGGCGCCGCTGCCATTGTGGCCCTGTATGCATGGTTCTGCAACGGTAGTCAGTGTTTCTACCCTTGCATAAACTTGAGAGGGAAGATGTTTGACACAACGGTGGTGGACGCGCCTGACCTTCACCAAAATGAGGCGCAATCACGTTGACCTTTGTGTTGTCGCCAATCAGACACATCCCAGTCTTATCGAAGCGGTTCACGCCACATAGCCTAGGGCAAAGATTGCAGTTGGAAAGATGGGCGTAAGCCTTAGATCGCTTCTTGGATTCATCAATAGAGGACAATGTCATGTACCGGGGCGTATAATCTTCAAGGAGGAAAGGGGGCGCGAGGTGAAGGGAGCGGCGGAAGCCTGCCATGACCCGTACACGACAGAGAGGCTCATTTTGTCTTCCCAAGATTCTTCCCAATTTGTTCATTGTGCAGCTTGATCATTGCAAACCAAGATGAAATTGATGGAAACGGCTCTTGCGTCACACAGGGTGAACGATTGAAGGAGGAGAGGTCGGATTACTTAAGTGCCGTCCCATTGGCTAAGGAGGTCAGAGTGGGTCTCGGAACCTCCTTGCCTATTCCAGCCACGACAGTGCTTTGCCTTTCTTCCCTTCCGTCTGACTCCACAGGTCCCTAGGCGGCTATCCTATTTCGGTAGGTAGATCGTGTCCTAGACATTGTTTGCTTTACGGAACTGCTAGAAGCATGCCACATCACAAGGTGACACTTGCCAAGAATAACGACAAAGAAATGCCTATGTTCCATGAGAGCTATCGACATTCCTCTCGTGTTAGGCTGGACAACTGCGTCTAGGACCACGGAACTGGGAAGATAGAGGAAACTCTGCGGCATGGTGTCATGATGGAGGTCTCCCTGCGATTGCTCCCAAGGCCATACAGACACACTCCTAAAACTCATCTCGTTCCGTAAAAGATAGGTTGGACGCTGAAAGCTCGAAATATGATTCTCAAGTAGAACTCATAGAATGAGCGACGGCTAGCATCTTACCTGCCCGTTGGAATGAGCATGGGTTGAGTTTAGGATGAAGTTAATGAAGTTCCTACGGAATACGCTTCGCGAGTTTCAAAGTCTCGGTGCACCCAGTGCAAAAAAAAAAAAAAAAAAAAAAAAAAGAGAGAGAGAGAAAGCCACTTTATAGCCTTTCTCATCATATCTATCCCCCACCAGGTCGCAGGGGCATACCCGCACCTAAATGACATTCATTAATCCACCTCGTCTCTGCCGCTCATGCTCCGCCTCCACTCCTCGCTCACTCCGAATCAGATATGCTGAATTCCTGTGGCTACAAGGTTGATTTGCGTTTACTACCAGTTCCTTCCATAGAGCATCATGTTACCGTCGTTTTTGGATAAGATGTTTCGTCGGAAGGAGAAATAATGTTTGCTTTCTGCATTGAAGCACTCAGACAGCCCTTTTTAGGTTTTCCTTGAATCTCATGAGGAATATTGGACCTCAGTAGTATTCAATTCTTCGGGGTCATTCTAGTCGTACCAACGTTCGGAACCAGCGATTTTGTCCTCCGGTTTCCAAGCCTCTGGACAGCTAGCTAACTAAGTGGCCTTTCATCATAGTAGATATTCGTTTCAATGTTGGACATGGTTCTCTAGCTCGTGAACCATCGAGCTTAAATCCTGATGTCATGGAGAGGAGTGATTCCAACGACAAGCAAGGCACTTGGATGCCAAGCAGGCTGCTATGGACTTGATAGAAAGTATTGGCGACGTCTTCAAGGGCGACAGAATTTAACGCCGGCACTCATCTAGCATGATCTCACACCATTCGCATATTTTTAAAAGGCGTTTTTGTTGCGATGTTGACCATCGCGGATAACTATCGGAGTCATCGGATCAACTCCGATGACTCATTGCCGGTGAATCCTCGGTTAACTGGGCCAAGGATCCACCGAGCATTTGCGGAACCAACCAACCCACGAGAGTTATCCCTCTTTTCTTTACGCATAATAGAGATCAACAGTTACCCCTAATATCCGTCAATTGCCACCGATACGTACGATTAACCGTATCACCATACCCTTGGTGAATCCAACAGTTTTTTTTTTTTTATTCATGTAGGTTTTGTCCTTTTGAGAGAGCAAGAGAGCGAGAGAGAGACCAGCTATTTCTCTCGAACAATAGCAGAAATGATATGAGGAATGATAGGAGGAATGGAATCGGCCAAAGGGTCGTTGCTGTAAAAATGAATAAATGTGTGTATTCGAACGATGAGCTGTAGGCTACGACCTCATCCCATCTTTTTTACCCAACTACAATTCTCCCTTCTGTTTAATTAGTGCACGGTCCACTCACTGTACACCTAATGGCCGCACATTTTCAACAATCTCAAAGCAATCCGCCTTCAACATAATCGCTTTGACATCAGCTCTTAACCTCCTACAGCAAAACATATTGTCAATTAGACGTGTACCCCAATATATTTGAGATATGCCCCTTTCGGATTGTTCAAGCTTCTGTAATAATCTACTCTCTATTTGTCGCTGTGCGGGCGTTACTAGCTGTACTAGGCTTTTCTCCTCAAAGGGTCTCCCCTGATATTGGCTCCCTGATCGTCATAAACTCTAACATCGGTACTGCCGAGGATAGGAATTCTAAGTATACATCTGGATAGTTAGGGGTTATTTAGTAGCTGAGGACTTGAATATTTAGAAAGTACTCTCGCTAATAGCCCTTACACACTTGATACCTAGGAATGGCAAATGTAAATAGTCAAAGGCGCACTTGAACTTATGCAGGGGGTGTCCCGGTGTTAATCACAACTGAGCAGTAAAATCTCACTCGACTACCTACTCATCATGCGATCATAAAATTTCTCACCTTCATTCTTCGAGATAAGCGCGACCTTTAAGGCAGCTTCCTTTGTTTTGAGCAAGCACAGTTTATTTTCATTCTTTCTCGTCTTTGACGGCTTTCTTCAACATGTATTACCCATTGGTATTGGTTTCCTTCACCTTCTGGATGCTCCTTTCTCTCTCGAACGCCCTCCATATTACGAACCAGACCATTGACAAATTCCTACTTGGCGAGTATGATTACCTCATTGTTGGAGGCGGTACTTCGGGAATGGTAGTCGCGAACCGCTTGAGCGAAGACCCGAACGGTACGAAACCCCGTTGCCTCCCATCCTTACTTGAGCGTTGCTGATTGGATGCAGTGACTGTCCTCGTGATCGAGCGCGGCGAACTGTGAGTTGCTATTCCAAGGATTTTGTCATCACGAAGCTACATAGCTGACCGTTCCAGTGACGCACGCGAGAGTTATATTATCGCTCCTGGGTACATCGGCCTCCAGCCTCCCTCGCCTTATTTAACTAGTGTGGGAACTACCTCTCAGAATTTTCTCGACGGCAAGACGCGCGGAATCGCCCAAGGCAGAGTCATTGGTGGCGGCTCAGTATGGAACGGGATGTGCTGGACCAGAGGCGCGGCTGCCGATTTCGATGGTTGGGAGGAGTTGGGAAACGCGGGTTGGGGATGGCAGAGCCTCCAGCCGTACTTCAAAAAGGTAAGCGTGGCATCCTCGCAGAAGCTAACAAGTTGACGAGTGCTGAATCGTGACACAGGTTGAGAAGTACTCAGTCGATGTTGACGCGGATGTGCAAGACCGCCTCAACATCCACCCCAATGTGTCGCTTCACGGAACTGAAGGATCGATTGACGTTGCTTACCCACGGTACTTCTACGACGCATCAGGTAAGCTGGTTGTCATATGCACAGCTGAATGCGTGATTGCTTCTCGGGCCTTGAAACTAATTCTGTAAAGCTCATGTTCTCAACGGTCTCTCAGAGCTGGGCCTCCCGCTTACGGCCGACCTTAACACGGGCGACGCAACGGGGGGTACAATCGTCCCATCCAGTATGTCTCCCACTAACCAGACTCGGTCCGATGCGAGAATCGGATATTACGACACAGCTGCGTCCCGCTCGAATCTACACGTCTTGACCGGGCAGACTGTCACGCGGCTGATTCTGGGCTTGCCCAACTCACAAGGCACAGGCGGGGGGCGACGTATCGTCGGAGTCGATGTACGTCAACCTTTACTTTCTGCTGTTTTCCTGTTCCATCCACTAACTCAGACCCTGATAGTTCTCCTCGGAGTCTATGGGAATCAACCGGACGGTAACGACCAACAAGGAGGTTATCCTCGCCGCCGGTGCAATCCAGTCCCCTACCCTCTTACAGGTCTCGGGTATTGGCCCTAAGGAAGTTTTGAGCTCTTTGGGCATCCCTGTGCAGATCGATCTACCGGGAGTTGGAAACAACTTCCAGGATCATCCCATGGCTCAATTTCCGTTCGAGTGTAAACTGAAGACTGCTTTCCCGATCTAAAGACATCCTGCTGACTCCTTGTATAGACACAAATTCGTCCCTTTATACATCTCACAATCTTACTGGCGATGCTTTCGATGACGCGCTCACCACTTTGATCACCAATCACACCGGTATGTAACTATAATCCAGACTGAGGACCAGCAAGCTCACATTTTCAGGACCATTGACGGCACCCCTCATCAATACCGTTGCCTTTCCAAACCTTTTTTGGCACGGGGACGAAGGGAAATCTCTCCAAAATGCCGCAACCAAGCCTTCCTCCGATTCCCTCCCTCCCGATGCTCCGCCAACAGTACAGGCCGGCTATGCTGCGCAAAGGCGTATCGTCCTCGATCACCTCACCAGAGCCGATGTCGGCTCTTACGAACTCCTCGCCGCCTCGTGGGGCTCAATGTCTATCGCCGCTCAGAAGCCACTATCGCGTGGCACCGTTCGCCCGAAGTCCGGTTCCATGTTTGACGAGCCCCTACTCGACCCGCGTTACTGCGCAGACCCGCTCGACTGTGAGATCATCCGGCTCGGCCTGAAGACGACGCGGAGACTCATGAAGACGAAGGCGATGACGCCGCTGCTGCCCGTGGTGGATGCACAGTTCGAGTCAGCTGATGATACGGAGCTGATGGCTACGATCAAGCCTCTTGTCGGTACGGAATTTCACCCCAGTGGAACGACGAGTATGATGCCCGAGGAGATGGGCGGTGTCGTCAATGCCGACTTGATGGTGTATGGGACGTGTAATCTGAGAGTGGTTGATGCGGGTATCATGCCCTTGATCCCGTCTGCGCATATCCAGGCTGCAGTGTACGCTGTGGCTGAAAAGGTAAGTTCACAGCAAGTTGAATCTAATTCTAGTGGATTCTAATACAAGTTTATAGGCTGCGGACATCATCAAAGTTGCCGCAAAAGACCCTCCAGCCTGCCCCTCTGGCCTGGTATAGTGGCCTATTGGCCAGGGTATGGTCTGATCGGTCATTTGAATGGAAAAAGAGTTTCGGACCAGGAGTTTGGAAGAGAAAACTTTTAATTGCTCGCTGGTTATCACTATGGTTGGTCCACTAGAGCATCTTGTAATCATTGGAGGCTAAGACTCATTGGAGAGTCACCGATACCCAGACAGGACAGAAAAGAAGACCGTAGAGTTGCCATCGTAAACGCGAAGAAACAGATGTATGGTGTACCGTTGTTAGAAGTAGAGAGGAATGGAGAGACAGCAATGTTGCATGATTCCCGTTTCTTAAAAGCACCCATGCGAATGAACGTTGACTGGAAGAACCAACGGCAGACCCGCGATGCAGCAAGATGCGTGCATTGCTTCAGCAACCTAAACATCTGGGGTCCCTCTCATGAGCCTGTTTGCAAGTGGTATAATACAGTTTCGTCGTCGCAAAGTCAAATCATTCCATAATGGCATCAGGCATTGTCTTCAACCCATTGCTCAATCCGCTCGACTAATTCAGTCTTCTTCCCCGTCGTGCTCTGCGCCCTAGCAGCGAGGATGTCCTTTAGATCCGCCACCAGCATCTTGCTCAAATTGCCGTTATCAATAGATGCCTTGAGCTGAGCCGTGGTCATACTAGAGCCAGAAACCTTTGCGGGATTCGGCGCCGCTTTAACCCTCTTGGCGGGCCTCTCGTCATTGTCGCCGTCCGCATCGCGTTTGATGGCCGCCTTCGCTAGCGCGTTCTTTGTCTCGGCTTGTAAAACCTCGGCCCAATCATTCAAATAGCCGCCTGCACGCTTGCTGATGGCTTTGTATTTCGGCTCCGTGAGGTCCTCCGCCTTCTCTGGGTACTCCTCCTCGAGGGCGAGAACCTGAAGAATCTTGTAATGCCATTGCAGCGACGGGTTAGGGTACTTCTTCGGATTGAACATGGCCTTTGGCAGCTGCAGCTGCTGGACGATGACACGCATGTGGTCGGTGAGCTCGTTGGAGCTAACGTTGAGGCTGCTGGGAGGCTCGGGGCCCTCGCGGAGGTCGTCGGCGAAGGGCAGTGGGTAGAGCCAGAGACCGGCGGGGAGGTACGGAGTCCCTGAGTCATCTTCCGACTTTTCATGAGAAGGAATGACGGCGACTAGAATAGGGCTGGCATTGGAGCGAGTGATGGCCCAAGCAATGCCAATCTTCTTGTCCTTGAGTAGTTTCTGCCACAAGGCGCTGAAGACGCGGGTCGAGCCGACATAGTCCTCTTCAGAGGGGAAGATGAAGGTCGACTTCTTGACACTGGCCCAAAAGGGGAGTGTGGAGCGTGGCTTGAAGCCGATGATTCGGATGATGGGAGAACCAAAAGCCTTGAGAGACTTTTGCTCCTCTGGGGCGAAATGTACGAATTCGCCGCCAAATTTGTAAGCCTTCTTGAACTCCGTCTTCTCTACCGTCCGAGCACTGTCCTCGGCGACGCGGGTCGTCTCTCCATGAGCGAGCTGAGGCCTGTCACTGTCCAAGTAGATGTAAGACGTTCTGGCTGGTGTCTGTCGGTGGATGATATTGTAGCCTTTGACCGATATCCTCAGTCCGGGGGCAATCTCGAAGGGGAGGTTGGAGAACAAGGCGCGTTTCGGGGTTTCTTTGGAGTTAATGTTGGATATCAAAGAGTTAAGTAGTGAAAGACCATCTCCTGACTTTGAGCTCCGTACCTCTGAGAGGTTGGCCTCTGCTGTTTGGTCTCGATAGACGATGTCCTGCACTTGTTAGTTTAGACCGTACGGACGAGACCATCTGTGACACTCACGTCGTAGAACTTGCCGAGGTCAAATTTCTTTTCGTCCCTGGTAATGGGAAACAACTCAATGATCACACCAAGGTCATAGAGGTCCTTCGCTCGAACAGCTGCTGCAGACTTGGCGTCCTTATTTTTGGCGTGAGGGTCGTCGTTGTCTGTGATGATGAAGAGGCGTCTGCTGCCAAAATTCGCCGCCTTAGTTGTAAATATCTGGTTTGCGCAAAAGAACACGTTGGCCATCTGTACTTCGTCCTTCGCCGGTACCAGGACCTCATGCTCGTCTTCGCCCTCTTCCCCATCGGCGCCAACTAGCGTCTTCAGCGCCTTGATATCCTCTGCTGCAGGAATGTCAAGATCGGTGAACAAGTAGCAGTGCGGGTACCCTAGACCAGACCGAGCACTTTCCTCCTGGAACTTGGATTTCTCAGTGCCAAAGAAGAGAATGCCCATCATGTCTCGGGGATTCGAGATGATGCGCTGCTGCATGAGGTGGTAGGCGCATTTCAAGGCTGCTTCGACGGCGCTGTCCTTATCCGCCTTCTTAGAACTCGAAGTTGGTGGGCGCTGCAGCATTGAAGCGCTGATATCTATGGCGAGCAGAATGGCATCTTTCTGTGCCTTGTAGTCCTGCGATGCGTCAGTTGTAAGTCATCCATTGTGGACATAGACGCTTACTGTCTCATCAATCTCCTCCTCGGCATCATCTTCATCTTCCTCCTCTCTTTTGAAATGTGGGCGATCAGCCATTGTTTGGTCTTTCAAAGTCCGAGTATGATCACGAATTGGCTTGCAGAGACTTGGCCGCAGCAGAAGACGAGCACCTATGTATGTAACCTTCGCGAGCTTAGTCTCCAGGCACCAACGCGCCCAGACCAGGGGTGAGCTTCGCGCGAAAGGAAGAGCCCCACTTGAGCTTCCTGCGCGCAATCACGTGACCGAGATTTTTCTTTCATTACACACACGTTGATTGGCCAGGATTAGAAAGTTAGGGGTGTACTTAAGGAGAAGCTCGGTGTTCGGTGGGCTCAGGATCCAGATCGGGATTTCCGTCGCCATCGAAGCCCGAATTCCACAAAGTGTTGACCGGCATCGAGCACGCATCACCAGGATTCGCGTATTGCCACAAGTGTGCTTTCCCAGAACCACTGAAAGACATCTGTCTTTATTGCCTCTCCCCCTCAATTCTTGTTTTGCGAGGCTTTCAATTCACCACACTGTCGCAGTTGCAATGGCTTTCAAATACCCAACGGGTCGGCTTTCCCGGAGCTTGTCCAAGGCGACACCCTTGACGCGCCATGCCTCGTCACCCTTTGCTCTGGCGTCGCCTCAATCTAGGTTATTGGCGACTGTTCCGCCTGTGACACAAAACTCTGTCGGATCCAAGGGTCCAACGGCCATGGTTTTTATGAACATGGGCGGTCCCTCGACAACAGGCGAAGTGGGAGACTTCTTGAGCCGGCTTTTTGTACGTTGTCTCGCGGTTGTTGGGCCAATGGATGACTAACGGTTCATAGGCAGACGGCGATTTGATTCCTCTCGGTCGCTTCCAGAACTATCTCGGCCCTTTCATATCCAAGCGAAGAACCCCCAAGATCGAGAAACAGTACTCTGAAATAGGTGGCGGCTCACCCATCCGCAAATGGACCGAGTACCAGAATGCAGAGATGTGCAAGATCCTGGACGAAATCTCGCCCGAAACCGCACCTCATAAGCCGTATACTGCGTTCCGCTATGCCGACCCGTTGACTGAAGAGATGTACAACCAGTTGCTGGCAGACGGTTTCGGAAACGGAAAGGGCGGAAGAGCAGTTGCCTTCACACAATATCCCCAATACTCATGCTCAACAACCGGAAGCAGCCTCAACGAGCTGTGGAAGTGGAGGCAACGACTGGAAGGCAAGACGGTAGGAGAGACGACGCCGGGCGACGGTACAATTTCTTGGAGTGTCATTGACCGCTGGCCTGTCCATCCTGGTCTGGTTGAGGCATTTGCGCAAAACATTGAGGCCAAGCTGTTGGAATACCCCGAGGAGAGGCGCAAGGACGTTGTGCTGCTGTTCTCTGCCCACAGTTTGCCCATGTCGGTTGTCAACAGAGGCGACCCGTACCCCGCCGAAGTCGCCGCGACCGTCTACGCTGTCATGCAGCGCCTCAAGTTTTCGAACCGTTACCGTCTTTGCTGGCAATCCCAGGTCGGCCCTTCGGCCTGGCTTGGACCGCAGACTTCCGACTCGGTTGAGCACTATGTTCAAAAGGGCCAGAAGGATCTGGTTTTGATCCCTATTGCGTTCACCTCGGACCATATTGAGACCTTGTACGAGCTGGATCTCGAAGTCATTGGAGATTCTGGATCACCGGAGACCGTTAAGCGAGTCGAAAGCTTGAACGGAAGTCCAATCTTTATCAAGGCTCTCGCAGACATCGCCAAAGCTCACCTTGACAGCGGCGTTGCCTGCTCGCAGCAGATGGAGCTGCGCTGCCCTGGCTGCAAGAGCGAGCGCTGCCTGGAGTCGAAGAAGTTTTTTGCCGGACAGCAGACGAAGCTTTCCTCGGCGCAGGAGAGAACTCTCTCTCAATAAATCTCTGCCAATCGCTGTTCATGAAGGACGGTGTGTGTATTTATGTACAATTAGAGGAACCGGCGATCTATTAGGGTCTAGATGGGAACCTGGGAATGACGGGAACCAAAAGTTATAATTTCCCAAATATGACATGCACCATTTGCTTTCATCTGCATTCCGGAAATCCACTGGAAGACAAGATGTCACTGTTGTGTCGTTGCGTCTAAGAAACCAAGGTCGAGCTACTCCGTACCCGAAGAGCAATTTGTGACGATGACGCACGCCACTGTGTTTCTTCGACAGTGCTAACAATTTTCCAGCCAACTCCACACAGCTGCCGGAATTTCCGCGATCAGCAGCACATTTGAACTATTTACACACCACCTACAGTAAACGTATGAGCTGGCTGCGGATTATGACCAGCACTCGGATTTTGACGAAAAGACTACCCCAAGCTCACACTTTTCACTTGCGACGAACGATGAGCACTCAGGATAAAATTCATTTCGGGCCCTTTGAGGTCACCGACCAGGTCAGTCGCGTCTCATTGAGTCGTCTCAAAGTTACCGGCATGGCTATGGCCATAGATTGAGACGAGTCGACGACGCAATCTTATCCATAATCATAGCAGCGTTTTTCGTCTGAGATTGTCTCAGCATGGCAATGGGCATTTCGATTTCTCACCTAACGCCTAGAGGTCTCGCTGGAGTGCCGTTATAACGTGGACTAACACGAGCCAGGTCTTCTTCCAGACGGCCCACTCCTTCGCCCTGGTCAACCTTAAGCCCCTCCTCCCGGGCCACGTCCTCATCTGTCCCCTGAAGCCTCACAAGCGTCTGACGGATCTCCCGCCGGCCGAGGTCACAGACCTCTTCACCTCGACGCAGCTGGTCCAGAAAATGCTGGCGCGTCGGTACTTCTCCTCATCATCATCAACGCCGGCGGCGCCGGAGGCAGGGTCCTTCAATATCGCCGTGCAGGACGGCGCGGACGCAGGGCAGACTGTGGCGCACGTCCATGTGCACATCATCCCGCGCATCCCGGGTGAGACTGGGAAAAACGGGTCCGGGCCAAAGGATGAGATTTACGAGCAAATGGCTGGCGAGGAGGGAAACTTGGGTGGCGCGTTTTGGGATAAGGAGTTGGGCAAGAGGCCGGAGGCTGGGGGACAGTTCGCGAGGATTGAGGATGCGATGAGAAAGGCGAGGACTATGGAAGAGATGGTGGAAGAAGCGAAGTCTTATCGGGCATTGTTAGAGGAGATGGGCGCTATCAGTGAGAGGTAGCGAAAGCAAGCGAAACCGAAACGACATGGAGTTAGGCCACGCTTGACGATACGATGATATTCCACCTTAATCAATATCAAACATACAGTGGTCAGCCTGGGTCACTTTGAGCTAGTAGCACCATGTTCCCATGTTGAGCAACAAGTGACTACCATTCCTGGGTATGGGCAGTAAGTACATGGTCGACCTTTTCAATTGTTTTCGCTGTATATAAATGATTTGCCGGCCTTAACTGACACTAACTGAACGGTTTCCTCATTTCAAATCTTCACGAAGCCTGATGCTTTCCTAATCCCAAGACAGTACTCAAGCTAAGAAATGCACAATTGACACTGTGTCATCTGAGCCCCACCAACCATTAACGCGTCCAGGGTTCGCGTCTGATCGCGTCTCCCCCCAAGATTTAATTGTCACCATAGCGACACACCATATCGCAACGCTCAATAAAGCACCTACATCAGGACGATTTCCGCGCCACTTTGGCATTCACATTTCCGCATTTGATCCGTCAAGATGCCGAGCGCCTCATCGCCTATTACCTTTCCCGCCAGTTCCTCACCACCGGCCACGAAACGCGCGAGGCCTGCAGCTGTCGAGCACACGAGACCGAAACCGAAGGTCAACAGTGGATTTCTTCTCGACGACGATTCCGATGACGCCGACAGTGACCAACAACCTCCTCTAAAGAAGCAACTTGTTGATTTTAGCACTCGACTTCAACGCTCAACACCCGTCACAACGGTCCCTGAGGAAGGCATAGCTGAGCCGATTGCATTAGCGCCTCAGAAGACCAACGATCCCGTCATAGCCAACCCACCACAGGTCGCACCACCCGAAAAGCCATTAAGCCTTGCTTCGGCACTGCTAAGCTCTACACCATCGTTTTTCAGGTCCTCCCGAACCTTCAAGCTCACAACATGCGCCGGGACGTCTACTACAATCAAGCAACGGAAGCCAACGACGAACACGTCTTACGAGAACATCATCGCTGCGAGGTCCAAGACGAAGGAGGGAAAAGCAAGACGCGCATACTACGGTATAGACATCAACGAACTAATTGATGCTGCGAAACAAGGAGATTCCGAGTCACGTCAATCGAAGAGAAAGGAGACTGATGTGCCGGTTCGCTCGGTGGAACCGCCAGTTGCGGGCAAGCAACACAAGAAGACACTCTTGTGGACCGAGAAATACAGAGCCAGGAACTTTCTGGATCTTTGCGGTGACGATGGTACCAATCGAATGGTCCTTCGTTGGCTGAAGCGCTGGGACCCCATCGTGTTCCCCGGTGTTGTGAAGAAAGCCCCCATTGTGCGGAGACCCGGCACGAAGCAGGTTCAAGAGGAAGAGAAACCACACAAGAAGATACTAATGCTTACAGGACCACCGGGTCTCGGAAAGACTACTTTGGCCCACGTCTGTGCCAGGCAAGCAGGGTACGATGTGATGGAGGTTAACGCCAGCGACGATCGAAGCCGAGACGTTGTAAAAAACCGGATACGAACCTCCTTGGGCACCGAGAGCGTCAAGACTGTCGAGAACATAAAAACAAAAGACGGTGAATCACAACAAAAGGTCGCCAAACCGGCCTGCGTAATTGTTGATGAAGTGGACGGAGTTGTAGGCGGCTCCGGTACCTCAGGAGAGGGTGGCTTCGTCAAGGCGTTGATTGACCTAGTGCTACTTGACCAGAAAAACAGCGCTGGTGCCTCCAATGCCTCTGGTCGAAAGAAGAAAAAGGGCGACGACTTCCGGCTCATGCGCCCGCTCATTCTTATCTGTAACGACGTTTACCACCCCTCTCTCAGGCCCCTCCGGCAATCCGGCATGGCGGAGATTATTCACGTTGGCAAGCCAGGTATCGATGCCGTCGTCACGCGGCTGAAGACAGTGTTTGACAAGGAAGGCATTCCCTGTGAAAAGGACGCGGCGCGCAAAATCTGCGAGGCAGCCTGGGGCATGACGAGCGGCATCGACGCAAAGCGCGGCGCTGAAAGCGGGACGGAAGGTGATCTCAGAGGAGTCATGGTTGTTGGCGAATGGGTTGCAGGCCGATTCAAGGCTGCCGCCGGATTTAACGATCGACTGACAAGGCAGTGGCTTGACCAGAATGTGCTCTACGATCTCACCAACGGTGCTGGAGGCGCGAGGGGGCTCGGACGAGGAAGCACAAAAGACATAGTAACGCGTGTTTTTCAGGAGGGCGGCGGTTTCCCGAAGCAAGCCTTGGACACTTCCCAAAACTTCAAGCACAAGCACGAACAACCCAAAAGTCAGCTTGGTTTTGCAGAGTACCACAAGAAAAACGCGATGGAACGGCTGCGGCACATGATTGACACCAGTGGAGAGGTCGAGCGGATCATGACCGACATCTTTCTGGAGTACCCCAACCGGGAGTTCAATGACGACTCTTTCTTGTCGAAGCCAAACGCTGCATACGACTGGATGAACTTTTTGGATACCTGTTCATCACGCACATTTGGAAGTCAGGAGTGGGAGCTGGCGCCGTACCTGAGCCAACCAATTCTGGCCTGCCACAGCTTATTCGCCTCGTCTCGCCGACATCAGGTCACCATGGGTTACGACAAGAAATGGGGCGGCGGCGAGGAGGACAATGAGCCACCTGTACCATTCTCTGGACCTCGAGCCGATTTCGCCGCCCACGAAGCGCAGAAGCAAAACAAGGCCATGCTTCAGGCTATTCAGGCACAGCTTACCCCCACACTGGGACGGTCATTCCGAAGCGTTGAGGATATATCCACGGAGTTCATGCCATACCTAGTTCGCATGGTGTCACCAGACGTAAAGCCGGTTGTTATTGGCGGCAGCAGCACAAGTACAGCCAGTGTGCGGAAAGAAACGGAGAAGGCCATGGTGAGGCGGGCCGCCGAGGTTATGGCCGAGGTCGGGATTGTCCTTCAAAAGGGCAAGATTGAAACCGATTCGTTGGTAAACAGGGGGCCGCAGTGGGTGTACCGCATGGAACCGTAAGTTGACCTCTGAATGTGCTTTTGACCTGGACTAATATCGGACAGTGATCTTGATGCCCTCGCAGTGTATGAGACGGCGGGCAACCTGGTACTCTCCAGTCAAGCCCCAACGCGCTACGCCGTGCGACAGGTGCTGGACCAAGAGCTGCAGAGGACCATTGCCCTACGCGAAGCCGCTGCCCGCCAGGCGCGATTCAAAGCAGGAGGCGCCGTGGAGTTCGAAGAGATCCCCGTGCACAACAACAATGAGGATATTGTCAAGGAACAGGCGAGAATGGTCGAGGCGAGTGTGAAGAGGGACTTTTTCGGGCGCATCATACCCGCGCGACCGCTTGGGGCGGTGAATGGGAACGCGAAAAGGAGAAAGGAACAGAGTCACGAGAAGAGCGACAACAAGGTTTGGGTCACGTACCATGAAGGTATGAATAACGCCGTCAGGAAGCCGATTACTCTGGAGGAGTTTTTGAAAGGCATGTAGGATTTCCTTTGGGCGATGAGCTTGGATGAGGTGAATGCATCACGAATTCGATTCTGTTTCAATGGCGAGTTTCCATTCAGAAATCTCACCAATGACGCCAATTCTACTTGGTGGCTTCTGAACAACATTAAACGTTCTACGTCTGCTACCTTTTTTTCTTTTTTGTCATGGCTCCAAGTTGCCTCTTTCGAACGGATATTTCCAAGCCGCTGTCTGGTCATCGAGAACTGTCAAGACGAAGCCAATGTCTTGAATTGCCGAGAGGTGCAAACCTTCCTCCACGTCACTCTCCATCGACTCCTGTATATATGAAGCCTCTGAGAGCTGCGGCTTTGTTTAATGCATGGATTTGAGTCATTGATTACCTTTGAAACCCTAGTCCGATCCACTTGGACATCAGATCAAGACGACAAGGACGAATTCCGTTAACGTCGGAAAGGATATGATGCATAGACACTTTCAACACATGCTTTAGGAGAGTTTTCATACGGAAGGCCGAGCTCCAATGTATTCCCTACCTTGGTCATTTACGTGTTCTTTCCAAAAATGGCTATATTTTACCCTATCCTTCGGGCCGCGAGCCCTCAAGGCTTTTACAGCCAAAAGGGTGTTCCCTTATAGGGATACCACACATCGCTGATTTAAGACAACTTCAAGTTTAGCTTAACTCTTGTATAAGCAGGCGTGTCTGAAACGAATCAAATTTGAAGAATTAGAGGTTATATTCCGTTGCAGCGGACTTGATTCCAATGAGGACCTACTTAATCAGAGAGACATTAGAAAATAAAGAGCGTTCCTTCCCAGAGTTTAACTGTTTTTTACGGCATTCCTTGCCGTAGCCAAAAGAAGTATCATGAGAAGTAAGAGCCATACGAAGTGGTCGTGTATAAGGGCCGAGGATTAGACGCGCCATTACATCTGATCGCCAAAGTTGTCGGCAGGCCACCTCTTTCTCCAGGCAGGCCCATAGTAGTACACCACCGGGATAAAGACGGCGAAGCCAGAAATGAGTCCAGTATAGATCATCATCGCGTTGAAGTATCCCATCTCCACAACCCAGTCTGAAATCTTGAAAGAAAGCGCAAAAGCCAATAAGCATCGGAATGAAGCAATGTTTACCAAAGCCGGGCCCGCAAGATGGGGGTAGCACTCTAGAACGTAGACGGCGCCAATACTGTTAGCGCCCAAGAATCCGAAGGCCATCAACCCAAGGCCAGTAAGAAACGTGACATAGGAGTAGTTGTCTTGGTCTGAACCAGCCAGGCCGAACAAAATGGAGCCGATGATACCAGCGATAGTTGGAAAAACTAGGTTAATGAGCTGGTTTTCCGGAACACGGACCCCGCGCTTCTTAGCAAGTCGATTGGCCATCCAGTCGGCAGCGCTTCCAGTAACAAAAGCGACGGCAACAGCGGCAATGAGGACTGGTAGGAGGCACAAACCAAGCAACATGAAGTCCCATCTATAACAGATGTTAGCCAGAGGCTCTTATTAAGTAAAAGCGTAATCACTTACGACCAAGGCGCTGTCAAAAGAGCCGGAGCAACAGTGTATCCAGCAGCAAACGCACAGGCGATCATGACACTGTTAAGCATAGTAATGAAGAAGATTTGCGGGTAGAAGAACGTGCGAAGCGTATCGATGAAAGCATTCCAGCCCTTTCTCCATTCCATTTTGCCGTGGAATAGAGCAATGTTGTACCGGAAAGTTCTTGGTGAATGCTTCTGACCAGTTTCATCGCGAGGAACACCGTCTAAAAAGTCCAGGGTTAGCCTTTTATAGAATTCCTGGTTTCCTAGAGGTCAAGCACTTACTCATCTCTGCACGCGTTCGGTGCCATTTGGTCTCCGGCAGGAAGAAATATACTCCAACTAGGAAGAAAGCTGCGCTGATAGCTGTAATGTAATACATATAGCGCCAGCTCAAATTAATAATGACATATGGCGCTGAAATGCCTAGTACAATAATAATAAGACCCTGGATTGCAAAGATTCCAGAGATCCAGGAGTTCCGTTGGTGAACGTGGACCATATCTTGGATGATGAATGGAACCAAGCTTTCAACAGTGCCGGCGCCAATCGCTTGAACGCAGCGAGCCAGCAAATGCGAGGTCAAAGACTGGCTGCTTCCAGACCAAATACATCCAATGACGGCAAGCAAACCTGTTGCAAGAACGACTGGACGACGGCCAACAGAAATGGCCATCGGCACCAGGATCAAGTTTGACACGCCTATGATCAAGACGGGAAGCGAAGCTAGTAGGTAGATCTGGAAGATTGGTGGCGCGCCGGGCAGATTGGCGAGGATCTTCAAAGGGTCGCTGCCCCCGGGAAGGCCGCCACTCGAAGTCAACGGCTTGAGGAGTTTGGGGTCGAGGCCTGAATACTCGAGGGCGAACACAGGAAGCATTGCGCCCAAGATCAGCTCGGCTGCGGCGGCCAGTGCGCCGAAGCAACACAGGCAGGCGCACGCGATGACCTTCCGCGACAGAGGCAAGTTCAGAGGGTCCCGCGGGTCCTGGGTCGGCGCGGGTTGCAGGATAAGTTGGCCATCGTGGTAGAGAATACCTTCCTTGACCTTCTCCTTTGCCTGATCGTCGAAGGACGACTCGAAAGAATCGACATGCTTAAGGTCCTTCTCAAAGGCTGTTGATGAGCTGTCGTGACTGTTGGTCCTCTTCAGCTCGGTGGTCTGGAAACCGAAACCATGATGAACAGTCTTTTCATCGTCAAGCGGCCAGTTCGACGCGGTAAAGCTAGAAACCGTTGACTGTCTTGGGTAACATGGGGGATCGCTCAGGTGAACGGGTTCAGGTAGCTGCGGGGCGGCAGCAGCAGACTCCATGTTGCAATATTATCAGGAGAAGGTATTAAGACAAGATAATGGGGGTGATCCGGAAGAAGCAGATCACTCTTGAACGTCAATCGAGAAGACATCAAGTGCCGGGCAATATGTAAGGGCCATGAGGGCATTGAACCTCTGCCGATGACAATAAGAGACTTACACAGACCATCGCACCATAGCTCCCGAAACACCATGCTGCATGCTGAGAGACGCAACCACACAGACGCCGGCTTCGATACCACAGACTCCCAACCCCTACCCTGCCTGAGGGTAGTCGCCGCCACCACGAGGCATTTCACGTTAAATATTGCAGTCTCTGTTTCAGTGGTGTCAAAACTCCGTGTTGGTGCATATGTACGTTGCCGCTCTTGCTTTTCTGCAACTCGTTTCGCTGCAGGTAATGGAATGGAATCGGAGCCGCTGACTGGAAGATCAATTTGGTCTCGTCAACCGGATTTACAAACCCGAAGTGACCCTGAAACTTTCCCTCACAAGCGGAGGGTCATGAGGACAAAGCTATAGGAAGAGATGCTTGTATCACACTGTCCCAACCTTGACGGGCTGCGTCCAAGGCCGAGAAACAGACGAGGAAGAGCTTTAATAAGCATGAAAGGCCTTTGGGATGCCATGACACAAGTTCAAATGAGTTTGGAGCACCAAATGCCCCAATCGCAACCCGGGTAGCCGTCCTGAGATAAGACCCAAAGAGCAAGCGGGCTGATTGAGTTCAGGTATTTCAGATACAAAGCGGCGCGGCCAAGGAGCTTTATGACGTTTTAACGCGCATCAATTTGGATTTATTGAGATATTATATGCCAAGAGCGTCAGTCATAGATTGTGGAGAGTAGGTGAAAAGGTTGAGCATATTTTTGATAATTGCACATTGCGCAAGATGTCCTTTTTGGAGCATTATGGTGACACCGCCACAAGGAGAAATACTTCTGCCACTCTGCCGCTCAGGTGCGGCCGGATCACCCGCCGCCCTAAGGTCGCGCGATAGGGGTGAGCGGGTGAGGCAGGGGTGAGCCGGGGGTAAGCGGGGTAAGTTGGAAGTGGAAGAGTAGAAGACCGTCCACACCACGGACAACTGCAGCTTTCAGACAACAAATGTCAAGAATTGCTTTTGCGCTTCAGCAGTTGATTCTGATGTTCTGATGTATTCGAAAAGTGGTCTTCTACTTGACTTGTAATTATTTCGTGCATATCGTGCACGATCCCGCTAGAACAAACGCCAGTCCATTTTCAAAACCGTGACGAATAAAAGGACGACCCTCCAACGCACGAGCAAAGTAGAAATCAAGCGATGGGGCAGTTGATGTTCCTATTTCCGGCGGTTAGCCCCCTGTGACGATATCGGTCCCACTCCCCAGAAGGCTTGTTGTTTGTTACTTACGCGCTATCGACACCGGTGATGCCTGCAGGCTGCTTATTGTTGACGGTGCACTTGGCGAAGACGTCCTTGATGATGGGGACCGAGGTGGTACCGCAGTCGAGGTGCCATGTCTTGCCGCTGGGGCTGGTGACATCGATGTCGTGGCCGACGCTGACGTACTGGTTGACGATGCCGTCGCCGTTGAAATAGCAACCGTAAATGACCTGGCGGCTCTCGACCGCGGGGGCGGCCTGTGCGCCCGCGAAGAGAAGGGCGGCAGCGACGGCAGAGAAAGAACGCATTTTGAGGGTTGGATGAACTAGGTAGTTTTTTCGAAAAGAGTGAAGAAGAATTAGAGCTGATTAAGACGGCCTAGAGGAGTTGCGATGAGATGTTGCTGTTGACGTTGTGATGAGGTAATGTTGGGCTCTGGACTTCTTATACGGAGTGAAGACGAGGTTACGCGGAGCCCTCGTATTATGTCGATCAACTCCTGGAGTAATAGCATTTGACTTTGATGTTTCTCGGCCCATAGTGGAGGCTTTGAGAGAAAGAGCGGACAATTTGGGGTTACGGGTAAATTGCCAGTGCACTTTGGTATCCTGCCAGTGGGTTAAACCTATTTCAGTAGGCACTGCCACCACTGCCACCACCGCCACCGCTGCAGTATACAACCTATACAAAAAACGCCCTTTTTGCTGTAAATCCCTATAATGCAATAGTAGTAACAACAAGTAGCCCTCTTAGCCTAGCGGTAGCAACATCTTTGCTAGTAATTAGTACTACTACTACTACTGCAGCTACTGCCTAGGCAGTATAGGCAGTATAGGCAGGATTAATTTAGGCTGGCGCTGGGTTAATCTGACGCTAGGTTAATCTGATGCGCAAGTTTTTGAATCCTGGCCCTCTCATTGGTTAGACTGGTCCTGACATAACCTGTTTCCTAACTAGGTTTAACCCACTGGCAGGATACCAAAGTGCACTGGCAATTTACCCGTAACCCAATTTGGTGTTGTTCATGCCGCGATCGACGGCAAAGATGGAGACAGACGGAGAGAGCCTTGCCCTCAACCGCGCTGCTGGGTGGTTCCGCTCATTACCGGGGAACCCGAGTGCGAGATTAGCTTGGCAATCCACCGGTTCGTCCAGTCCCAAACTCTAAACATGCGTGATATGTGTCCGCACTGCCACTTGTGGTGGAGAACTCGGAGAAGTATAATTGAATATCTAATTTTGAAGCTCGGGGTGACATCCTTGCGATGCCAAGAAGTCGAGAGCGATACCAGAAAGATCGGGACAAGTTGACGGAAGGATGGAGATCAAGTATGAATTGTGGACTTGTCTGTTTGTGCTTTGAAGAAATGGAAAAGATTGAAAACCAGATCCAAGTATCTCTCGCGGGACTGCAAGACCTCTTGAGCTTGAGTTGCAGTGAGTTGCAGTTCGCTATTTGGCGAGTCATCAGGAGAGACATCATGACTCGGGGCATCGCCGACGTAATGCAGCGGACTGGAACGAGCCGATGGATGCGGAAAATACAGCACTCGCCAGGGTTATAGCATGGAAGGGTTCTATTACTATCACAGACCAAGTGCACTGCGCGCCTACAGTTTCTTAAGTAAGGCCTTCTTTGCGCTGAGACGCAAGAGTGCCCACAACATTCTTCGGATTTCTCGGTACTACCTAGGAGATGAGCGGCCTTGAAGTCCGTTTGTTCTCCCCAAATACCGTAGAAATTATTGAAGTGAACAATGTAAAGTTGCTTGCGGTCAATCCGGAGTCTTGACGACTTTGTGATGGTCGAGTGACCTGCTTCGAATGAGGACAGGTATCTGTGCTGAGGTAAAGGAGCAAGCTCAGTCGATCTGCGCGACATTGCTAACATGCAAGAAATTCTCACATTTGACCATCTCCTGGCCGTTTTTGATGCCTAGATAGGTGCCTTTGACGTCCCGCCCATGCGCCCACGTCGTTCAGATTCCCTTCGCCGTCCGTTGAAGGCCGGCGCATAAACTTGCCGAACCGATAAAGTGGGGCCGCCCCGGACCGGGACCCGGCCGACTCTAGGTCGAATCTCGTTGATAACGATCGTATCCTCAGCTCCATTACGATGACATGGTACTCGCTCTTCTCCCATCAGTCATCTATACCACCCTTGTCATACGACTCCCTGTTGCGCCGAAATCGAGCTCATCTCTTCGTGGCCATCTCCTGAGGTCGGCGTCAGCATCAGGCTGAGCTGTTGCGGCACAAGAGTGGGGACGGTAGGCACTGTAGGTTTTCTCTGAATTGAAAGGGTTTAGCTCGCACCAGGGACCAGTCTACGAAACTACTAATTACCAAAAGGCGAAGCCAATATCTTCATTGGGGAAAACACAAGCAATCAATGACAGATTGCGGCGCAGTGGTGTACGTGGTGCATAAATCTGGCAACTGTTAACATCCATGCCTGTCTTCGGGTTCCGGCCTGACTATTCCGATTGAGGTAATCCCAGGTTTCTCTACAAACAGGTAAGTAGTCTGGGGAACCAACAGGCTCCCGTCTACCCCTACAGCAGACGTACACTCACATCGGGTTTGACTGGAAAGGCATTGTATGCGCAAAAGCCTCGGAATTCGAAGCATAAGTAGTGCGCCTTACTCATTTCCTCTCTCTTTCTAAGCATCAATACGTCAGCGGTAGCTGCATCGCAACCTGTAGTCTGGTTACGATAATTCATATACTATTATACCTCTACAAGAAATCCACAGGTAATACTTACCTTATCTTTAAAAGTTCAACTTTGACTTTTGGTCATTTTCTTTAGTTTGGTCTTGATAAGTGCCGTCAGGATGCCACGTACTCTCATACTGTCCATGGGTAGAAGTCAATCGGAAACAAGCAGTGAAAGTTCTTCCAAGGCTTCAAACACCAGCCTGTTATAACTTGAACGTGGCGAAGAAAGTCAAACTTGTGTGTCCACCGTGGATCTGAAGCGTGGTAGAGGTAGGAACATCGGCTATGAACGGCTGAGCGCGATGGCCCCTCGCGCAACGAGAATGGAGCGAGACACGCTGCATCTCGCGTCTCACAACCACCGAAAACGGGTCCAATCTGTGGTACACAGCCCTACCGGATGATTGACCACCGCTTGGGTGCTGAACGCGACCTGCCCTTCACCGATAGACTGCCTACTTGGGCTACGTGGAGACTTCGCGTTCGTCAATATTTCCGCGGCTTCGGGATAAAGCTGAATCATGTCTGGGAACGACAGTTTTGATTTTCCCTTCTTTTTCAGTAAAAGAAGAAGATACGGAGTCATTGAATATTGAGATTGTATGAACAATAGTAGTCATCTTCCTTGACTAGCAATGTTGGTATTTTCCGGCTGAGGGAAATCTGTTCGCCTCGCCGCAAGGAACTACGAGGACTAATGCGTAACAGGCTTCCTTCAAGGAACGCAGGAACCAACGATAGGCGTGCGAGATGTCGTTCTTAGTGTGCAGAGCGAGGCTTGGGCGACCCTGTAGCACAAATCGACTATCAGAAGGAGGGAATCACGCCACGCCCCAAGCCCATAACACCGAGGCTGGGCCACATGGCTTCATTCTTGTACAACATACTACATGTAGACGCATATCAAGCAGCGTCACTGCGAGCTGTACGGACTGGGGGTACACGAGTGCAGCTAACCGGGGTTTGTAAATACTATGTCAGAAAGGACATCCCATCCCGAATAGTGACGAGAATTATATGATTGACACGTCTACTACTGTGCGACAATATCTTCCAAGAGGCTTTCGTCGTCTCCACCCACTCAGAAATAGCGGCCATGGAAACCTCCCAGGTGTCGTCTTCTAGCAAGCAGGACTTGCGTGAGTCTTTGACCATAGCGGTTCGGAGGGAGCCGGGGTCACAAGGGACACCCTCAGAAGCCGATTGGGAGCTGCACAAGGCGACCATCATCGACATCTACAAGCGGACGAACATGGGGCGGTTGCAGAGGGAGATGGAGACCTTGCATGACTTCAAAGCTACGTAAGTGATCCATCAACGCCTCCTCGAAGTCGCTACTTGATAAACACAAACACTGATGCCGAGATCCATCAAGCAAGCGCATGTACGACCGTCGGTTTCGAAAATGGGAGGTGGCCAAGAACATGAGCAAATCCGACAAGGTCAAGATACTAGCCAGTCTTGATGGTGAACCAAAGGCGCACTCGGCAGCGCTACGACTGAGCCGGAAAGACTGGGAAAAGATTGAAAGGTTCCAGAGATCTGAATTCAGGGGAGCTAGGAGGATGAGAGAGGTGTTATCAGCCAGCGCAAACCAGGCGAGTTTCTCACCATCGATGCCCCCGGTTTTGTCGGACGACGCAAGAACGCGGACAGCTTATTGTCTGCTCAGAAACGTGGAGGTGTGCTGCCAGATTCAGCTGAGAGACGCGAGTGATTTGGGCTCATACGGCTGCGTCGGGCGCGAATCTGGCTCAGGCCAGACACCGCGGCTATTTTGGCAGGACATCAAGCACGCAATACGCTCTGGAAGGACAACATCTTCGCCCGCGTCGACCACCGCCCATGGGATCCTCCGCGCGCAGATGAGCGGCACCTCGTTCGAGTCCTTCGACTTCGTCTGGGATATCTTCGCGACGCTCTCGTCCCCACTAACATCATCTTGTCGCTGGGACATGGTGCTGCCCAGGAAGAATGGCGTACAAAATATCTCCCAACCATTTTGGATCCGGTGGATGACGAGACACACCACCATCCTTGGCTTTATTTTGTCTTGTCTAAGGGCATCTGATCAACACTCCTCTTGGCTAGGGGAACACAGCACGACCCTTCACAAGCGCTAAAAGAAGTATTAGCTTAAAGAAAATACATAGCATGATGATCAAATTAACATTGTGGTATAACTTGCCACCCATGATCCTGCACTATCTATAAAAGCGTCACGTACGACCGCTGTGTCACTCGTTTTACAATGGACATTATGCTCATTCGTCCATAACTGCATCCGGCTCGGTAAGTGAGCTCGCTTCGTGGGGAAAATGATCATCTTCGCCAGCTTGGGCTGGAGCAGTGGTGCTAGAGGAATCTTACCATTTGAGGGGAATCTTCTCACATACTCCCGCTAAGACGAAGCGCCCTTAGCCAGCGAAGGCAATGCTGTTCCAAAAATGTATGACCCGGTCTGCTGTTCTAGGCTCTGGCCGCAGTGTTCTTCTCTAGTAGGATCCCCGTTTGCCAGATGATCAACCCAGCAGACGTGGGAATCCTGAGTTGGCGCCAAGGAAGCATATAATCGCAAGTTGCAAGATAGAGATATCAAGAGAAAAGCTGCGAGCAGTATAATGTTATGACACCTTAAGCGTTGAATCCCCCGTTCTCAAACACCCGGAGGAATATTATCACCTATTTACGTTTTGCAGCGTGGCGTTTTTACATAGCAATTTCCATGAAAGGTCCAAGAAAGTGGCTAGGCTGGCTATTTACCCCACACTACGCTATGTGATGAACCGCAGCGTCTTGTCATATGAGAGAAAAGTAGTTGTCCTATTAAGAAACTACGTATGAACCGGAGAAGCGGTAGAAATACCTTTTCTACACGGTCCGTGCGGGTGGTACGCCACATCCTGTGGCGGCGCTGCTGGCACTAGCCACACGAAGCTATTCCAGCTTCACGACACGCTACGAAATAGGTTTTCGCATATACCTCAATACATATCCTTCCTTTTTGAACTTTCACTCCGCCAATCCTTGGCTCTTTCAAATCCGTTCTTGTACGTGTCAAAGTCTTCCGCCGCTTGTTGTAACTCCTTCCGACTGGTCATGACAAATGGCCCATGTTGGGCGATTGGCTGGTCCAAAATCTGTCCGGCAATTAAGAGGAGCCGCGCACTTCCAGGTGCTGTATCGGGAACCTCGGCGTCGACTACATCGCCTTCTTTTTCAAAAATGACTGCGTCAAACTTCTTTCCGTTGCTCTGATCTTTACTCCTCGAACCAAAAACCGCCTCTCCCTCAAATACATAAGCAAAAGCATTCCAATCTTGAGGCAAGAGCTGGGTGAATTTACCTCCCGGCTTGATCTCCACGTCGAGAAACCAGACGGGCGTATACGCCAAGTCCTTGACCGAGTCAAACCCGCCGGATCTGCCCGATATGACTTTGACATAGACCTTGCCGTTGTCGAGTTGAACTTGTGGGATTTCTCTTGCGCGCAAGTCTCGATACCTGGGCTCGCACATCTTGAGATGCTTCGGAAGGTCAACCCAGAGTTGGAATCCGGCCCCTGGGGTCCCGTCGTCTTCCGGCAATGGCTGTTCGGAGTGCATGATTCCTCTTCCCGCTGTCATGAACTGTAGATCGCCGGCTCGCAAAATGCCCTTATTGCCCGCAAAGTCTTCGTGCTCTACCGAGCCTTTGAGGATGTAAGATATGGTCTCTTTTCCCCGGTGAGGATGATCGGGGAAGCTAGCGCCGGTGCTGCCGCTCATGTGGTCGAACATAAGGAACGGTGAGAAGTTGCGCTTGTGGACACTTCCGATGGCGCGGCGCACTCGGGCCCCTGCGCCCTCGGCTTGTTCAGGCGCTCTGAATACTTGAACGATTGCTCGCGATACCGACATTGTTGATCATGGAACTCGGTCACCCAACAACTGAACCTTGAAATGATGGTTTTACGAGATATAGTGGTTGACTAGTCATTTGAGATTCCAGCGAAAGACACGACAGAGACTTATACGCAAGCCTAATGCTTCAATACTAGCAGCAGTTGTTATGGTTCCAAATTGATAATACTTACAAACACGAGGGTGTGCCATAAAGGCAGCCGAATGTATCAATTATTGAGGGCCTCACCAAAAAGAAGCTAAGTTCTAATTGGCTGTCAAACACGTGCCTGTAGTATGGAAGCTTGGTAATGCAATGTCATAACCGCGCGGGGGGATTGATTGGAGGGTCTTTCAAGTGGCCTTTAATCCAATAGGGCACGTGCAAGGCATGAATGTGTAATACCCGCGCGCGAGATATTGGTCTTGAACTGCAAGTGATACTCCAAATGTTGAACTACTTGTATGCTAAGCACAACTAAATGCTCACTACATATCTTTGAAAGTAAAGATAAGCAACCGGTAACGTCATTAATATCAGAGGTCTATACTATATAATTGACGCTGAAAAGCCTCTGGAGGTGATCATTGCAAGCGCCATATATTTGAAATCAAGGAGTACTATATTGGTTCTGTCGAACACTTCGCGACCCTTAAAACATAAAGATATCAGGACCATCATGACTACTACGGGATGGAAACAATTGAATGACAAGGATGGCAACTTCCAGCGTCCTGCAACCGTTCTCCGTAACTTCATCTCCAAAGAGCCAGGGTCCAAGTTTCCGCCCGAAAAGGGAAGATACCATCTCTACGTCAGCTATGCTTGTCCATGGGTAAATCAGCCCTATTCCATATGGTTTTCCGGAATGTAGCTGATAACAGTGACGACGACAGGCGCACGAAACCCTCATCGCCCGTAAGCTGAAGGGTCTGGAAGATGTCATCTCGTTCTCTGTTGTACATTGGCACCTCGATCTCGAGACAGGTACGGCTGCAGGCGCACCGAGGATCAAGGTTCGAAGAAGATGCCTGGGTGTGACGACTGAAACCACTTAGGATGGCGCTTTCCCACTTCCTCGGAAGCCGAAGTCGATGGCGACAACGTGGTGCCAGATCCTCTGCACGAGGGTTTTACCCTCTTGCGCCAGATTTACTTTGAGACCGATCCCAATTACTCCGCAAGATTCTCCGTGCCTGTCTTGTACGACAACATCCAAAAAGTCATTGTGAACAATGAAAGCAGCGACATACTTCGGATGCTCGGAGCAGAGGTCAATATGCAACAGCCGCCCCCTCATGAGCTCCACTGACGTTTATCAGTTTGACGACATTATTGATGAGAAGTACCGCAACGTCTCGCTATACCCCGAGACGCTCCAAGACCAGATCGATGACGCTCATGCGTGGCAGTATGATCAAATCAATAACGGGGTGTACAAGTGTGGGTTTGCGGTCACCCAAGATGCATATGAACATGCTGTGACGTCTGTGTTTGACGGATTGGATCGGGCTGAAGCTCATCTGGCGTCTCCCAAGCCCTCCGATGGTCCGTACTGGTTTGGAAAGGAGATTACAGAAGTCGACATACGGTTGTAAGTTTCGTTTCTGACAAATCCACTGCCTTCCCGAGCTAACTTGTATTTTTGTAGATTCGTTACACTTATTCGATTTGACGTATGTTATTTTCCTCCACCCCCCGGCATTCCACGTCCCAATGAGATTGCCTCATGGACAATGCTTCTGAAAAATCAAGCCAGACTTGGACGTCATCAAGATTGAGTAACATGAATTACAGCCGATCTACATGTTCCATTTCGAATGCAACATTCGAGACATACGCTCCGGTTATCCCCGCCTTCCCAACTGGCTCCGCAACCTGTACTGGAACGTGCCGGCGTTCAAAGACACGACCAACTTCATTCACATCAAGAAAGGCTACACCAAGAGCCAAACCAACGTCAATCCACTTGCAATCACGGCGATGGGGCCGTTGCCACACATCCTATCGCTGGAAGATGAAGTCCCCGCTGTTCGTATCTCAAAATAGAGCGAGATGGCCAGACGGGCTTTGGTAACGAAACTTTTTTTTATTGAGCAACTATGAGTACTGCGCTGCAATAAAATTTCCCTATTTTTGTTCAGTCAGAGAGAATTGTCAGGATTTTCATTTAGCCCCAGACCTGCGCCTGAGTGCTTCCAAGTCGTGGCCCAAGTATTACGCATCGGATGCTCACTCCTTCATGATCCTACCCCCTTAAGCCATCACGACCATATGCACTTGTCGAAAAAGACAACGTCAACTGCGGACAGCAGTTAACGCCTTATATCTTATGACAACACTATCTGCGTATCGTTGGCAAGCTGTAATTAGGTTAGCTTTGTTGTTACTCTAGCAATTCACTAAGGGTGGATAAAGTTAGAAAAGCCAAGCATACTTATCAAATTTTTGGAACCGCCACCGTATTTTGAGTCTCGTGAAACGGTTCGGTGGTCTTCTTGGCAGTGGCAATATGCAACGGTTCAAAGGGCTTCTTCAAAATCCTAGCGGCTTCCTTCTCGGCTTCCTCGTTTGGCCGCTCAATTGCGGCGGCAAGCGTGAGGGATATGGCCTGCAGGAGCAGGATACCGAACCACGTAGTTTTCTGAGTAGGCGTCTCTCAGCCGATTGTCACCGGGCGGCCTTCCCGGGCACTTACCATTTCTTCGGCGTCCAATATACGCGAGTTGCAGTGTTAGGTGTCTCCTTCACAGGAAGAGGTGGTGAGGGAATGAATGTCGTCAAGCTTGGTGACTGCCACAATAGACGGTCGTGGTATGTTGAGGAAACGTAAGTTATACATATATATATATATATATATATATATGAAAACAGGGTCGTCGTGTCGTGTATCAAAGTACAAGGCCACTGTCACACGATCCTGGACCGCATAAGAACAACCGCGTACAAGGTATATTCGTTTGCGGAAGCCGGAAGGTATGGAATCATGTATTGTTACAGCCACTCGTACATGAATCTGTGACACGATGATGCGACTTGGGTTTAAAAGAAAGAAGGCAGTTGAGATTCTGTTGGTAACACCAAGGGATAGGTTGATATGGTTAACTGTACGTATTGGTGGCAATTGACGAATAATGGGGGTAACTGTGGTTCTCTATTATGTGTGAAGAAAAGAAGGATAATTATTGTGGGTTGGTTGGTTGAATAACTAACTTATTGCCCACAAATCCTTGGAGAATCTATGGCTGAATATCTGAGGATTTGCTGGCGATGAGTTATTGGGGTTAACCTAATAACTCCGATATTTATCTGCGATGGTTAATATTGTAACACTAGTAACTTTCTATAGTGCTAGAAATCCCCTATTATTTATATCTAAAAGAATAGCTAAAAAACGTAATAAAAACAAGAAGCTAAAAAGTATTTAATACTCTTTGCTTATATAGCCTATTATATATAAGAAACCTATCTATTTATCTATATCTCTAACTACCTATTACTAACTAGCTTCTCTAATGTATTATTTAGTGATAACTTTATAAATCTATCTGCTAGGTTATTACTGCTATAAATCCACTGTATCTTAAAAATTTATAGTATTTATATAACTAGTAAAGGGCTATAATATCTATTATAAGTTGCTTCTCCTTTATAGTGCTAAGTTTTATAAGGCACTTGTAAAGTAAGTATAAGTTAGTGTAGAGTATTATAGGTATTTATAGTAGCTTAAGGTAGTTAATAATTATTAAAGAGTAGTACTAATCGCGTAGGCAACGTCAGCGCTAGTAACTATCTTATAGACCTTAGAGGTAATATACTATATATAACTCTTTTATACTTTATTAAACTAAAGTAGATAATATTACTAGTTAACTTAAAGCTTTTATATTAGCAGTAGGTTATTTAATAATTTATTTATTAGCAAGAACTATAATAAAGCTAAGTTAAAAGGTAAAGTTATAGTTATTTATAAATAAGCTATTAATAAATATAAAGAGCTTAGTAGTTATAAGGTTAATTAGTAAAATTATAAGCTATAGTTAAAGTTACTAATTTACTATTTAATATAGTAGTTTAGAGCTTTAATCTCCTTTACTATAGGTAATTAGTGTTAGTAGTAACTAAATAGTTAAAGTAAGCTTTAGGTTAGTAGATAGAAGTAATATATACGCTATAGGCGTATTACTAGATGTAATCTTACTAGGCAGTAGGTAATTTCTTGTTAATAATTAGAGCTTTTTGCCTTAGCTTTCTAGTAAAAGGTAAGCTTACTATTAGTAGTAATAGATAATATACTACTATTAAAGGTAATAAAGTTATTATTATAAGTAACTACTTAGGTTTTACTATAAAAGTAGCCTTCTTAAGCTCTTTCTCTTTATAGGTAAGAATTTACTGTCTATAAGGCTAATTATATTATCTATTTATATACTAATTAATCTAAAGTTACTTTATTAGGTAATAATATTAATAAGTAAAGGTTAAAGGTTAATAAATTATCTAGAGATTCTCTCTATAATAGTAGTTATAAGTTATTACTAGTAGGTTCTTACCTCTATAATACTATATAATAGCTTAGTTACTATTATTATTATATTTACTAGGTAAAGATAGTAAATTTACATAGGCAAGTAGGCAAAAATAATATAATTTAGTAGTATTACTAATTAGGTATACGCTTAGGTAATATTATATAACTAAGGAGAAATCTACGTTAAAGTAGTAAAAGGTAAAGGTAAGTATTAATTACTAGGCTATTTACTAGATAGTAGGTAACTATATAAGAATTATTTCTTTACTATTATCTATATAGCCTTAGATAATAAGCTATAATTTCTTATAAGGCTATTTTTTTACCTTTACTTTATAAACTATATATAATTTAAATATATAGGTATTACTATAGGATTTCTTATTATAGGTAATAATATAAAATACACTATAGTTAATAAGGACTTTTACCTTTGCCTTATTAGATTCTTTAAAGGGTTTACTAGGTGTAGTAATAATCCTTTCTTATATAGCTTAACAGTAAGTATATAGTCTACTTCTCTTTTATAGTTAAGAACACTATAGTTATAGTAAGGTATATCTTATAAAGAATATAAGTATTAGGTTCTTTTATAGTAACTATAGTGTTATTATAGTAGTTTATTATTAATAATAATAGTATTATATACTTCCCTTTAGCGTTAGGTATCTCTATAGGTCTTCTTATACTTATATAGTGTACATAGGATTATCTTCTGCTTATATAGAGTAGCTAGTAGGTTTATTAGCGTAAGGAGGTCTAGTTAACCTTCCTCTGTATAGTAGGGTTTTACTATAGTAATCCTAAAGTTATATAGGCTATAGGGTAAATTAATAGTATAAGTAGTACTATTATTAGTAATAAGGTAAAATAGGCCTACTAGCTATATTTCTTATACTATATATAGACAAAGGATTAAAGGGGTAAAGTAATAGTATTAGTTAAATCTAGGCTATTATATTGTTAGTGCTTTATATAGCTATTACTTTATATAGATCTAGTGTACTATGTTATTACTTTCTTAATAGCTTTAGTGTACTATATAGTAGTTATAGTAGGTAGTAACTTATTAGTTATTTAGGGTATACACTAAAAACAAGAAAGTTAAGATAAGGCTATCTAGGCTAGCAGTATTATTAATTATTTAATAGTAAGTTAAAAGGTAACTTTAGGTTTAGCACTAGTTTCTTTATAAATAATCTTATAGGGTAGTAAAAGGGTATATAATAGCGCTTAACTTTACTAATACTATAATAGGCTTTAATAAGCACTTCTTTTACTTTAATAAATAACCTATAGGTAGTATATTTAAACTTACTAAAGTAAAAATTTAGGCTAACGTTAGTTATTATCTAATTAGGTAGGCTAAGATATATATTAATCTAGTATATCTATAGTGCTTCTATATATACTCTATAGTAATAATTATAAGAATCTTACTATATTAAACACTATTACTATATTAACTATATAAAGTACTAGTTTATTACTATTAAATATATTATATTAATAAGGATCTTATAGTTAAACTTATTATTATTATATAATATAAACTTAAAGTAACTAGGGGCTTTAGAGTATAATTAGTAGTAGTAGTAGTACTTATTAATAGCTTTAATTAATAACAGGAGGTGTTTTCTCTAGTGTATTTAAGTAACTTATAAAGTTACTAAATAGTTAGGTAGCTAAATTACTAGTAGATTTAGTATAATTTACTATCTATTAGGTGTTACCTAGTAATACTCTTCTCTAGTAGTTATAAAAGCATCTATAGGTAGCTAAATTAGTAAATAATAGGTATAACGTTATTACTTTAGATTAGCTAGTTAGTAAGGTTATTAAATTTTATACTATAATAGTCTATATTCTTTAAGTAAAAGAGAAATAGAGTATTAGTAGTTATTATATAAAAAACAAGGTTACTAAGTAGTATAAGTATATTAATTACCCCTAGGGATTTAAAGTAATTACTACTACTAAAGTAAATACTTACTTTACTTACTTAGGTAGTATCTATAGGTATCTTTTTGTCTAAGTGCACTAAAAGGCAAGGTATTACTTATAACTAGTGGTTAATTTCTTAGCTACACTAGTGTTAAGTATAATACTATAAAAAGTTACTACTAAATAGCGCTTATTAAGTATAAATATCTTATTAGTTTTTATAGTCTTACTAAGTAATAGCTCCTCTAGTAGGTTTTTATAAGTAAGTGTATAGCTAGTTACCTAGTTATATAACTTAGAGAATATAGTTAGGCTATTAATTAATAGTTATATAAAGAAGGTAATAAATATAAAGAACACTATATCTATATAGTTATTATTATTACTAGTAGGTTGTTTTTTACTATTACTTACTTCTTAAAGATAACTTATATTATAACCTTTATAGTTAAGAAGAAAGTAGTTAAAGGTAGCTAGTAAAGCTTATATAAAGTAGGTGCTTTTATACTAGTTAAACAAGGATTACTACTTTTCTTTAGTGTATTTAGTTAACTAATAACTAGGTTTACTATAGATAAAGCACTTCTTAGTTAATTTATTATTACACTAGTTTTTACTATAGTAGTTACTCTATAAAGAACCTTATATTTACTATAGATTAGCGTAATTATTATAGCTACTATTATACTTATAGTTAACTTAAAACTACTTATCCTCTATAGTAGATTTATCTATAAAGTATTATATAGGTAGCTTATAGTAAAGTAAAATATTTACTACTCTATTATATAGTTATATATAGAGGCTATAGAATATAGCTAGTAAGTTAAAGAAGGCTATAGTGCACTTAGGTATACTATAGCAATAGGTAATAAGGCACTTATAATAATCCTTATTTTTTAGTAGGCTATTATAAGTAGTTACCTTAACTAGCTTAGTAACCCTTTTAATAAGTAACTTAAGGATCTTAATCTTATTCTTACTATAGTTTTTATAGGCAACTAAGTTAAATAATGTACAGTAAAGCTTAGTAATATAGGCTAAGTGTACCTTATTACCTTTAAATTATTCTTTAAGCTTTACTATTAGAGCGTTAAAATTACCTGCCTATTAGCAGAGGGTAAAGGTGTAATACTCTTGTAGTTTACCTTAAAGTATTACTTAAATTACTGCTTTATAGTAGTCTTATGTTATATCTACCTAGACACAAAGGTTATAGAATAATAGTAATTTTAAGTTAATAGTCTTATATTAGCTACTAGTATATTTTATAGCCTAGTTATTAAAGTATATCTTTATAAGGTTACTTATTTACTTTAGCGTTAGCTTTAATGTTGCTATTAATATTACTATAGTTAACAAGAGCTCCTGTAGTAGTATAGTAGTTATTATATATAGGCTATTAATTTTAGCTATTATATAGGGTTTTAGTGTTAATATAGGCAGTAGTAAGGTAAAGGTTAGGTTATTATAAAAGGTTTAGTAGCTAATTACTAGTAATAGGCGTACTTTAACTGTTTTTACTCTATATATAATTATCTTATAGCCCTTAATGTCTTTAATAAAGTTAAGGTCTTTAAGGTATTCTCTAAAGTTATATAATAATCTCTTAATAATAGTGATTATTTTGTTAGTCTAGTAGGTGCCTTCCTCCTGTTAAAGGGTATTAAACACACGTTAAGTAATTAATAGGTATTTACTATAGTTAACCTATACTTTATAGTTAACAAAGAAGTTATATAGACCTATTAAGACCTTTAGGTTAATAGCCTTAAAGTTACTAATAAGCTAGTTAGTAAGGTCTTCTTATATATAGTAAAGTAATTTACTACTAAGGTAGTTATTATACTTAGATTTACTAAGGTAAAACATAATAATAGTGTTAAGTATAAAGGACTATTGTTTTTTTATAAGGTTAGTTAGTAACCTTATAATATAATCTTTCCCCTATTAGTGTAGAAGAATATACTATATAAGGGTAAAAGGTATAGTAATAATATTGTTTATTACTGCTATCTTCTCTACTATGTTAGGTAGTATATTATATTTACTATAAATCTCCTCTTCTTGTTGCCTTATAGGCAAAGGCACAGTAACCTAGGAGCCTTGCTTACTTATAAGCTTATCTTGTTTACTTATCTTAGCTTAGGTCTTCTGCTTATAGGCGCAGTGTTATTTACTGTTATCCTCTGTTAGCCTAATGACCTCTTAAACATAGGTGTTTCTTCTAGTAGACTAGAAGGTATATACGTTTATTAGAAGGATTACTACTAGTAGTATAAACAACTAGAGAAAAATATACTCTTATAGGTAAATAACTTAAGGAAAAACAATAGGCTGTTGTATTAGCCGCTTATTAATGCTATTAATTAGCAAAAAGAGGAGAAATAATAGGCTATTATATTAGTAACTTATTAACGCTATTAGTTAGTAAAAGAAGTATATATATAAGAAAAAGAAGTTAGTAAGCTAAAGAGCTTATAATAAATAGGATATAGTAAATAATTACTAGTTAGCTATAGGTATATAAAGTAAGGGGTTTTTTATAGTTAAAAGTGCTTCTCTAAAGGCAACAAAGCTTATATAATAGACGTAAATTAATAAGGTTTCTGCTAGTCAAGGGGACTAGTTATAGATCTATTAATTAACCTGTTGTAATAGGTAATTAGTACAATATTACAGTAAGGGTATTCGCAGAGGCGTTTTTTAGTCCTTGCCTACTCTAGGCGTATAAATAATTAACTAGCAATAATTACCTCTTCTTGTAGTCCTTGCTAATCTACAGTTTAGACAGTAAAGTTAACCTATATAGTTAACAGTAAAGTTAACTACTAATTAGTGTTAGTAACACTAAGGGATAGGTTAATATAGTTAACTATATATATTAGTAGTAATTAATAAATAATAGGGGTAACTATAGTTCTCTATTATACATAAAGAAAAGAAGGATAATTATTGTAGGTTAGTTGGTTAAATAACCAACTTATTGCCTACAAATCCTCAGAGAATCTATGGCCAAATATCCGAGGATTCGCCAGCGATGAGTCATCGGGGTTAACCTAATAACTCCGATATTTATCCGCGATGGTCAACATTGCAACAGATTCGTTCAGGGGTTATATGACAACCAATGACCCACTCTGCCTGCGTCCATTAGATGCAATCTTACAATTCTAACGATATGACGATATTAGATGAATGGAAAAAACCGGAGGGGCTCTCCCTTCCGAAACCTCGTAGGCTGGACCATGTATGTAGCGGTAGAAAAGGCTCACACCATTAGATTGGTAAAAGCTTTATGCGAATTGCAGCGCAAACATAGACACGATACTCAGCAGAAGCATAGTCGCTTCTATGTTCCACGCAAAAACATTTGGCGGCAAAGGGCTTTATTCCACTCGAACTACCTAAGATCATCCCCGGAATGACGCTCGACAAAGGAAACGACCATTGATGGTGGTCATCGTCGCACAATGGTCTTGCAGGGGAAGACCCCGGGGATACCTCAGGGAGGGCTCACCATGGGTAATCAGAACACAATATCGACTTGGACTGATGGCAGCTTCCGTCTAGTTTCAGATACGTGCAGCTGTTGAGTGATTCGTCCCTGGGCCGACAATACACGGAGTGCCCCTCCCCATTGATCGGCTATTGACCAACACCCCAGGAGGCAGTACACTGTTCACGAGACAAATCTGTGATAATCAAGAAAAGTTGTATTTATGGTATCGGGTAATAGTTGTTGTAGTCAATGCGACATGTCGCAGTTGCTTTAAAGCAGAAAGAGCCCCAAGTCTTCAACGCTCAGCGCTCAGTGGCGTTTACATCTATGTTCTATGTATCATGACCTTATTCTCGCTCTCTTTATACAATCGTCCTGCTACATTAGAACGTACATCTCGCCACCTGGAGTCTCAGTTGGCGAATATCAATTCGTCCTCCGTCAACACCTCCAGCGCTTCCGAGCTGGCCTGGACGCTGGATTGCGGCTCCGATGTTGGCACAGGCTCATACGTCTCCTCGAGGTACACTGCATCTTGTCAATTTTAGGCACAGCTGAAGACGAGGGATGCGAACTCACCACCAGGGCGTACAACAAAGCTTGCCAACAAAGCCAAACCAAATACGGACGCGAGGAGGACAAAGATGGCCTGGTCAAACACACCCACTGTCGAATAGTAAAGCGTGTTGAAAGCGATGGGGCCCAACACCCTCGACAGAGCGTGAAGGACCCCGATAGCACCCAAAAGCTGTCCCACCTGATCGGCAGGCACGTGCTTCGTGATAGCTGCTTGGATCGTCGCGCTGCCGAGTCCACCAAAGGCCGTCACCATACCGGAGAGCACAAATATGGCCTCATTCCTAGCGAAGATGTAGCCCAACGAGCCGGTGACATCCGAGAGCAATGAGAAGCGCAGAATCCAGCAGTCAACAGCGTCGGCGCCGTGGTTTCCTTCCACTAACGAGACACCTGAGACCCTTCTCCGGTAGGCCGCAGGCCTCAGGCGGAAGACGTAGTTGATGATAGGGAGGACAACGAGGAGCGCCACGACACGGACCATGGACACGGCCGAGATGAAACGCGAGCTCTCCAAGGTACCCCAACCCCAGGTCTCTGGGGACTCCGAGTACAGCAGAATGACCGTGCCTGCGCTCATCGTCGCGCCGATGAAGATCATGTCGGTGAAGGAGAGGGCAATGATGTTGAGACGCAGCCTCGACGAGGTACCCTTGCCTGTGGGCCAAAGGACCCTGAGAGGGGCCAGCGGGTTCGCCGCCTTGAGCGTTGACCAGGTCCCCCTAGCCACACGCTTCTGCTCTTGATCGTGCTTCTCGCGGGCGCGCAGCTGGCGCTGGCTGCTGAGCGACTCGGGAACGATGAGCCCAACAAAAATGATGAAGAAGATATGGCAACCCATAGTGACGTAGAAGACGGAGAGAAGGGTGCCGGTCCAGGCGACGAAGTAGCCCGTCAATAGCGGCCCGAAAGCCAGACCCGTGAACAGGCAGGCGTGGAGGTAGCCGATGCGCACACCACGCTGGGAGGGCCGGGTGCAGTCACTCGCATACGAATTGATGAGCACACTACCGGCCGTGAAAGATCCCGTCAGTCCGTCGGCGACGGCGCCGAGGAGCAACCAGTCGTAGTGAAAAGTCCATGGGAAGTTGGCGCATAAAATGACGATCAACTCAGCCACGACGCCGCCGCAGGACGCCAGGGCGAGGAGTTTTCTTCGGCCGTATCGGTCGGACAGCTGTCCCAACTTGGGCGCGGTGATGGCGGACAAAGTTCCGGTGATGAGGTTTATGGCCAGGGTTAACATGGAAACGCGCTTCTTAACCTCCTTGATGAGGCACTGGGGGTTGTCCGCGCCAAGAATTACGGGTGTGTAGGCGAACGCCGGGTCCAGGACCTTCTGGTCGGCGAAATGGCGCTGGCAGACCAAGTCGACGATTCTGCAACACAATGTTAGCAACCGCGACAGCAGTCGGGCCACGAGCATTACGAGGTTTTGACATACAAATTGAGCTTGGGCACCAAGGAGCCTCCAAAGGCCAGGGTGAAGAGGGCATATGGGACGAGAAGCCAGTAAACCTGGCGCACGCAGGAGAGAGTCAGCACACGTCGGGATCACAGGACGACCCGAGCCGGGCAATATGTCCCTACAGATGGTGTCTTCCACCACGGCAAGCCCTCGAAGTCGGCGTAGCCAGGCCATGTATCCTTGCAAGAGCTGTCGCCATCGGGAGCGCCCGCACTCAGCAGCGACGTCGTTTCTGTTGCCTCATTGACGGGCTTGTTGTGAACATCCCGGTCCACGCGGGTAACAACGATGTCATCTTTGGGAGTCGACATGTTGAAGAGAAAAATCAAATCCAAAATGCCCGTGTTGATTGCGTTCTCGGATTTAACGGTTGGCGCCGATAGCGTTTTTTTTGTTGCATACAGCTCTGGGGAAGCTCTTTGAGGCTTATAATCAGCCAACGGGAGCCGCGCCGTTTAGATTCGGGTACTTTGCTTAGTTGCGAGGGTCGGATCGTCGGGCGTTTGAGCCATATATCGTGTCTCGGACAGTGAGTTCGGGGGCGAATGCGGTAAGCTGGACAAAGTGAGACTGCTAGGCTGCCATTCTTCTTGGATAGTGTCTGCTGCACTCGACCTGAGGTAGGCTTTTCCTAGAGTGAGCGCTTCAGCGGTAGAAGGTCGGAGGGTGCATGGGCGAGGCGAGGAGAGGTGCTTCATGCGACGCAACAAGAGTGGGAAATGGGAAAAGAAATAGAAACTTGAGCTATGTCGTGTAGAGGGCCACCCGAGGGGGGGCACTGCTCCTACACCTAAGAGATAAGGCGAGATGTGGGACGGTGATGGTCGCTGATGAAATCAGTAGCCAAGGGCCCGGGCGAGAGACTCACGCTACATCACACTACTACCTAAAGGTACGGTAGTGCAGAGAGAACCAGACCTGCAGGGGGTGGTCCGACTTCGATGGAAGATGTGGAGCACGTTTACATAGTATCCGTAGTGTAGAACGGAAATGGGATGGGATGGGATGGATTAGTGTAGTTCCCTCCGGACATGGGTCGTAATGTTCGCTTCAGAAAGCGGAAGGTCAGACTGAGCATCGACAGCGCTATCAAATCCTATTGGAGCGGCGTTGGCATGTTGACAACAGTAGTGCGCCGTCTGTCGTCCGCAACGGCCTAAACACGTTTCGGTTGCGAGGAACGCAGGGAATGGACGGCGGAGAGCTCGGGCTCGGAAGAATGGTAAAGTACCTAACCTATATGCGTAGAGGGCTAGGTATCATCGTCATCGTGTTTCGGTCATGAATGTGTACAGTCACCATCTGCGAAGCCGTTATTGGTGCGGGGATGTATTCCAGAGGATGGAAGTCGGCAGTGATTTGCTCGCCAACCCCTGCGAAGCCGTGGAAAAAAGAAGCAGCAGCAGGACCAGGGACAAGTGCCTGCCCTACCTACATAAGGCAGGCAGTTATTGCCCAGCTTGGTGACGAAAGAAGGAGGCGACAGAAAGCCACGCGGCGTGTTTGTGCCTGTCGGGCTCGAGAGTGGTCCCGTCGTGATGGGTGGTGTCGAACCAATCTCGTGGAACTGCAGGCGAACGTGATGCGCTGGCTTATGTCGGGCATATCCATGACGCACGCAGTCTCGCAAGATGGGCGATAAGGGGGTCGCCATTTAGTGTACCACGACATCCCAGATCTGCCAGGGGGTGGGCGACAAGGTGAGCGATTACCAAGCTTGAGCCAATTCCGCGCTGGCAGTTCGGACACCGAACTCGGTCAACACCTAGTGTCGCCTAGTGCCACCTACTTAGAACCCAAAAGCAAGCATTGTCTTGTTGAGTCTGTCGTTTCATAATATGCTCCAAGCCCTCACCCTGTCTGACAAGAGGAGAGGAGCACCCCCAACGTAATGACCTGGAAGCCGCTTACAGAGGAGCATTGCCATCCTGGAGGGACGATGCCGTTCCCCCTCCCCTTCTTTATCGTCGACAAATGGGGGGCCATCCGATCAAAAACCTTGGTGTCCAAACCGGCAGCAGAGCATGGCTGTGTGACTGTGGCCGGCACCTCGTCGACAAGGTTCTGCGGTCGTCCTGTTTCAGCACCGGCGAGCGGATCGGTCCCGCGGAACCGCCCTCCTGGAAGAACCAAAACTTTGCCCTACTTTTCCTTCCTCTTTCCCGGCCTGGACACGGTCGCCGGGTTTCGCCTCATCGACAGCGTTGTCGCGCTCCCGTTCCTAATTTGACGGCCCTGCCCCAACGCCAACCTTGGCACCACCTTCTGCCTCCTTGTAACTCACAGTAGGTGCGACTGCCACGGGATGAATTGTCCCATCTACAAGCCGACGGCATATCCCCTGGTGTTCCGCGAGGGTGCGCTGTCGTTGTTCGACACGTCCTCTAATTGTCGGATGGTGTCTTGCGCAATGACAAATCCGCGGTGCCTGATCCGAACGTCGGTCGGGCACGCTCACTAGGCATGTAGCTTAGTTAGCATGAGTCGGTATTTCCCACACAGACACCACCCAACTGGAGCGGTCCGAGGCCACGCCATATTGCAAAGGCAATGCCCAGAGCTCATCACAATGAATGGGCCAGGAATGTAGTTTGGGAGGAAAGGGAAGGGTGATAGCGGTAATCATAGAACCCTCTCCCTACCGTCGATACGGAGGACGCGGGATGTGACCCGTGCCTCGGCAACCCCAACATAGAAGTGAGGGGTTGTCGAGCCGAGTTGACTTTGTGTCGATGACTCGATTATTGCGTTTGTTCTTTCCAAAATAGTCAGTAGGCCTGCGGGCGTCAATCACGGCCAATGTCGATGCACCATCCTTCTGCCGTAGCGGTCATACCTATACCTTTGATCTCTGCTCGTGCTGCTGCTCAACAAGCAGAAGGGCCAACCAGCATGTTTCCGCAATGACAGTCACAGCTAGACTCCTGAGTAAGTATTAGTGTATCGATTGAGGAAGTGGTGACATTTGAGAAAAAAAAAAAAAAAAAAAAAAAAAAGCGTTGGGCCAAATCTGAACTCAATCGTACGAGCCAAATCATTGGGCCTATGATTGCCTCTGCCCACCTCACCGTGACTTTTGACCGAGAGCTATATGTCGGTGTAGTTCGGTGAGCTGCTGCAGGAGGTTGCAATTTGGAACCAATCAACAGCGGTTTTTCATGCT